GATGGACGCACACGCACACACACACACACACACACACATGATTTATTGTGGATGTTTTTAAATGTCCTTGTTCTTTATTGTGAAATACTTGGAGATGCATCATAGGAAGTGATTCATAGGTAATAAAATCATCGCCATCATTATCAATGCAATAAATAAATAATGGTTGCAAATAAGCGCAAATGGTTGCAAATAAGCGGGGTCTTCACTTTCCTGCTGGCTCGGGCCATCATCTTTGACTTTAAAGGTAAGGTGTCAGGGACCGTGCTGAGGAGGGCTGCACTGAGGAGGAATGGTGGGAGCCTCCCCCTCTCCCTGCTCCTAATCCGGATCCTGAATCTTCCCAGGAGCAGGAGGACAGTATAGATTTGGAACAGTGGTTTGCAGAGGGGCATAGTTCAGAAGGCTGATCGCCGAAGAATTGATGTTTTTGAATTATGGTGCTGGAGGAGACTCTTGAGAATCCCATGGACTGCAAGGAAATCAGCCCTGAGTGCTCACTAGAAGGACAGATCCTGAAGCTGAGGCTCCAATACTTTGGCCACCTCATGAGAAGAGAAGACGTCCTAGAAAAGACCCTGATGTTAGGAAATATTGAGGGCACAAGGAGAAGGGAAAGACAGAGGACAAGATGGTTGGACAGTGTTCTTGAAGCTACCAACATGAGTTTGACCAAACTGCGAGAGGTGGTGGAAGACAGGAGTGCCTGGCGTGCTCTGGTCCATGGGGTCACGAAGAATTGGACACAACTAAACAACAACAATGCCCATTATCCACAGAACCTAGGAGATGCTTCCTAAATCCCTCATTTGTCCAGGAAAGCTGTCCTTCCCCAGTGGAGAGGGTTCTATGGCTGCTCAGTGATGTTAATGCCCTAGTGACCCACACTGTGGCCCTCTTTGGACTGGGATCAAAAAAGATTAGGACAAAGAATCTGGATGAAATTACAGTAAACTGTAAGGGAGATTCAGAGGTTGAAACAGGAAAATACTGTATGCTGTGTGGAGACCCCCAATTTATACATGCCCCTGCATTTTATGATTCTGATCGTTTACGCAGAGGTTCTGTTTTGATATATAGATTTATAGATATTTCGTTCTTTGATAGTGTCTCTATGGTTTTGTCATGGCCTCTGGCTAGTACAGTAAAGCTTATTTACATGCTATGTCCTGGTTATTGTGATCAAGTGCAAGAAGGTGCACATTTCTTCTTCAGAGAGGGAGACTGGATGCAACATCTTCTTCTTTGAACCACATACCAGCTGGGGCTCAGACTGTTCTTAAGGGCATGCCATGATAGAGATGATCCTTCTGTGGCAATGTCACTCAGGTCAAGAGGACAAAGATCCAGAGATCATGTTAAAGGTGGCCAAATTCTGTGTCATTGCCATAAAACATAGGGAACAAGCTGTGATATCATCGTGATTAAGGTTTTTAAATGGTTATATTTTAGTGAATAAGATCTGACTTATAAATTTTAATTGCTGCTATATCTGTACTGTCCCTGTTATACCAAACTGCAAAATTAAATGTATCCCTATGACTTCCATGATTTTGTATGTGAGCTGGAACTGATCTGTGACCGAAATAATAAATTCATTCATTCACATACCAGCTGGGGCTCAGACTGTTCTAAAAGGCATGCCATGATAGAGATGATCCTTCTGGGGTAACTTTAATCAATGGGAGGCGATTCTTGTTCCTCCTTTTCAAGGTGGCATGGCCAACCCTAATGGGGTGAGCATCAGGATAGGCATTGAGGCAAGAGCAACGAGGACAGAAGTTCAGGTCACGAACTGTGGTTAGAAGCAGTCATCCAGTCTGAATGTCAAATGGACTGTCAAATTAACCAGTTGACCTCAATCAGTATGCACCAAGTTCCTAATCCTGCTTAATGGCAGTGCTTGAGCTAATTAGAACAGGCATAGGCAAACTTGGCCCTCCAGATGTTTTGGGACTACAATTCTCATAAAGCCACTTCCGCCCTACAGAGGAGGTGGGGTTGCGGGCTGCATGCCACCACCATGCGCGCAGCGGCTGGAGCCTCGTGCGATTGGGGGAATCCCCGGCCACGTCACTCCCTGGCCAGCCAATCGGCTGACTCTGGGGGCGTGGCCTGCCCTATTTAACACAGGCATGGCCAGGGATCTCCCTCTTTTCCCGCCTACCAGCTGTTCCTGTTTCCCACCCTCCCGCCCTTTAAGGTTTTTGTTCCTTGACCTTGCTATGGACCTTGGCTGGTCGTCGTTGAGGGGCCTGGTAGGAATTTTTCCGCTTGGCAAATTGGCACCAGCCACTTGGTTTTCGCCTACCTTATAGCAAATCGTCACAACTTTCTTGGTATTGGCGGTTAGGCATTGGTATTGGTATTATTTTGTAGATGGAAGAGGGGAGGAAGCACCATCACCTGCCCCGCATATTGAAGGGTAGTCCGATAAAGAATTCTGGGGGGTGTGGCCCTGTCCGAAGCCTATGGAGGTGAGGGCCTAAGGCACGCCCTGTGCGGTGACCCCAGGGGAGTGCCTAGCATGCTCTGGTTCATGGGGTCACGAAGAGTCGGACACAACTAAACGACTAAACAACAACAACATAAAATGGTGATTTTCTTGAATCAAAATGAGAATACCCCTAAACATTTTTTTTTAAGAAAAAAAAGCACTGGGTGAAGATAAGATTTATGTTATTGGGGGCCGGGCAGGACACCCACCTGTCATCGTCCTCTGTCTGGCTCTATCAGATTCGGAATGAAATGTCTCAACAACAGTTGTTTTACTTTCTTTCCCTCCCCACGTGCTCAGAAAAATTGGTCAATATCTTCAGTCATTTGAAAACCAGGAAGTTAAATAAAAAAATAACACCAGAGAGTACCTTACATGCAGTATATTTTGCAAAATTACAGAAGAAACACCTTTTTCATCTCTTTTTTTTTTAAATCCAAACTAAAACAAGTTTTCTTGGATTTGCCGAAAACCTTTTCAGCGCTTCTTTCTCAAGTTCCTCCTTTTTTCCAATGCAGTTTTTCTGTGCACACAGAAGGCATAGCCCATTTCTGCTTTTAGTTGAGTATTTTTATTGATTGATTTGTTGTGGGGGGGGGGCAGCTGTTCCCCTGCCTCCTCTGAGTATTCCCATGAGTGCAATATTTTGCAGCGTGAGCATATCTTATGAAGAACACTGAATGCACAGCAAAACATATGTGTCAATGTCAAGGGCAAAACTGCTATTTCAGGTGCACCGTTCGAAAAAGCACAAGACGGTTGATACTTGAATATGGAAGTGTTGGAGGGAGAGGGGAGGAATTACAGGCGTGACGGCAAAAGTTAAGGCAAAGAGCTATTTTGGATCTCTGCCCAAAATCACCTTCGAAGCCAAAGATGGAGAAAAAAGATGTGCTGTGGTTTGATCAGTTGGGCTTTGTCTCAGTGTTATCACCGGACTTGAGAGCACTTTGTGGAGGCACTTTCCATAAACAGCATTTCTCAGGACGCACCTGGAAAAAGTCTTGGGCAAGTAACAGAGAATGTCAACAAGTCAAGTAGGGGAAAAAATTGATCACCAAGAAAGATAAAGAAATTAACTACCTGGCAGGTTTTATCTGATCCCCAGTGATGACATGTGAAGGTCAAACAAGGTGAGGACGACTTAGAACTTGTGATTGCTCCCTACCTTGATCCTCTTGTTTGTCATGACTTCACAGTTCCTATTTCCTCTCCCTTAATTACCGTATTTTTCTGTGTATAAGACAGTATTTTTTCCTTAGAATCAATAGGCAAAAATTGTGAGTGGTCTTATACACGGATAGCAGAGGGGGGACGGGCGATTGGTGGCAGCAGCCAGCAGGATATTGACAGCGGTGATTGGGCATGTGATTGGTTGCTGTGGCAATGCCTGCTGACGATTGGCTGCGGCTGTGGCAATTGGGCGGTCGATTTACGGCTGCGACATGGCGTACATGCAATCGGCTGTTGTTCCGTCTAGTTTGCAGGTGGGCTTTTGTGGCGAGTGTGCAGATGACTGGTGGAGGCGGCGATTTGTGCAATTTGCAGTGGCGAGCAGTCAGTAGAGTGACTGGTTCCCCCAAAAGCAGAACTACTCTGGGCAATCTCCCCCCTCCTCAAAAAAACTCCACAACTTTGGGCAACCCCCCCAATTTTTTGTTGCAGTCCCAAAAAACAGGGGTCATCTTATACATGGGGGCGTGTTATACATGGAAAAATACAGTATTTGTTGTTTAATCGTTTAGTCGTGTCCGACTCTTCGTGACCCCATGGACCAGAGCACGCCAGGCACTCCTGTCTTCCACCGCCTCCCGCAGTTTGGTCAGGCTCATGTTTGTAGATTCGAGAAAATACAGTATACTCCCTCTTATCTCCCTGCTTGTCTCATTCCATGTTGCTCCATAGATAAGCCATTTTAATTATTGAGTGAGCTTTACCTAAATAAATACTTCCTCAATGATTCATTTCTTGTAGTGAGGTTAATGCTCACTGGGAAATGATATACAGCGGTATCTTGGTAGTCAAACGGCTTGGCTCCTGAACAAATTGACTCCTGAACGCCGCAAACCCAGAAGTGAGTGTTCCGGTTTGTGAACATTTTTTCGGAAGCCGAATGTCCGACGTGGCTTCCGCAGTTTCTGATTGGAAGCTCCTGCAGCCAATCGGAACCTGCGCCCTGGTTTTCGAACAGTTTCGGGAGTCGAACGGACTCCCAGAACGGATTAAATTCGAGAACCATGGTACCACTGTATAATGAATTGAAAAAGATGTTTAAAATAATGTTTGTAAAAAAGAACACACACCCAAAAGCTTTCCTTTTGGGAATTATAGGGACAGAACTACTCAAACTGTATAGAAATTTATTCATGTATGCAACTACGGCAGCAAGAATGTTACTTGCAGGAATGTTACTGCAGGAAGCTCCTGCAGCCAATCAGAAGCCATGGAAGCCCTGTGAGACCTTCAGGTTCCAAAAGAACGTTCGAAAATTGGAACATTCACTTTTGGTTTTCGATCATTCGGGAGCGTTTGAGAACCAAGGTACGACTGTAGATGAATAAACGAGTAAATTAAGTTAATTTGGAATATGCTTAAAAATTTAAGGAACCGCAGAAAAGGGGGGAAGGAAGTTGAGTTTTGAAATGTTAAAATGATTGTAAAATTATTGAAATGTATAAAATTGAAAATCATAAATAAAATAAAAAGGATTCATTTCTCAGTGGGGCCTGTTCTCCAGACTGAATGTTGGAAGATTTAGCCCAGATAAAAGAAAGTACGTTGTCACACAACGCTTTATTAAACTATGAAACAACCTCTGTTAACCACTCGTTGATGGGTAAGTGGGGAGCTGGGCAGGAGAGGGTTTGGCAATCCTCATGCTTTGCTTCCCCTATGAATGTCTAGCGATGCAGAAACCCAGAGTGCTAACACTTCTTTTACTTCAGCCATGCAGAAATTTGCCTCAAGCTACATTACAGTGTCAAAACCCCGCTGAGGCCAACATTTACACATGACCCAAACAGGAACAGAAAGTCGAGTGCTTTCTCTCTCCTGGTTGCGTAGTAGGAACGCATGAGAAAGGTCACACTTTGGTGGTTGTTTTTTTAAAATAAAAATAGATAAAACTTGCAGGTCGTGCGCCTCTGTTTTGTCACTGGGACAATCTGGGTGGTGACAAGTCAGGAATGGGGTGTAATTGGCCTTAAATTGTTACAAGTTTTTGATCACCCACTTTTGTTGTACCACGGAGTCTCTAGTGGAATAAACGAGACAAATATCTAAATCCCCCAAATGCAAAATTCTTACCAAAGTTCAAAACTCATTACACAGTACCCAAAAAGGGTTTGGGTTTGATATCCCGCTTTATCACTACCCGAAAGAGTCTCAAAGCGGCTAACATTCTCCTTTCCCTTCCTCCCCCACAACAAACACTGTGTGAGGTGAGTGGGGCTGAGAGACTTCACAGAAGTGTGACTAGCCCAAGGTCACCCAGCGGCTGCATGTAGAGGAGCGGAGACGCGAACCTGGTTCCCCAGATTATGAGTCTGTCGCTCTTAACCACTACACCACACTGGCACTACACCACACTGACCAAGGTTTCAAGATCTAGTTCCCAAGTGCAATTGAAGCGATTCATGTGATCAGTTTGGGCTAGATTTATTAGGTGAAGGGAATTAAAATGCAGCTTGCCAGCTTTGCTGCCAACTCATCTATGATTAAATAGTTACAGCTCCTATCTCCTGTTGCGTACAGAAGTTGTACCAATAGGTATTAAATACTTGGTGAGATGCCAGAATCAATCCCAGCTGACCTTCCCACATGACGAACTTTTGGGGTGGCAATTTAACTTGCTGCTGTCATCCTGAGGGCACCTAACCTTGCCAGTACTTACCTGTTCTAGAGTACAGGTTCTAGAGTTGAGAGATGTTTATATTTATCATATTTTGTATCATAGGAACATTGCCTTGTACCAAGTCAGATCAATGGTCCATTTACATGGTCTACAGCAGGCATGTCCAACCAGTTGATAGTAATCTAATGGCTGATCACTGGGCATCCCTGGTCGATCGCGGGATCCTGATTGATCGCCCCAAAAGGGAAAAAACCTCAGCAACTCTGGTCTGTCGTCCCCCAAAAAAGCTCCACAACTTTGGTCAATCCAATGGGTAAATCACTGCCAGTTTTTTAATAGTGGGATGAGATCACAATCTCTTGGGAGTTGGACCTGCCTGGTCTACACTGATAAGCAGCTAAAGTTAGAGCTCAACTGCTCTATGGAATTTCAATCTGGATGTCAGGGTTTACCTAGTCAGTGGAACGAGTGCAGGCAGCCCTTCTATTTAAGATTTTCCCTGTCCCACGCTGCGTACCTTACACAGCCCTGTGTTTAGAGGGAGGCCAACATAAGCTAGATACAGTTGCCAGGACTTCTTTTATGCTGGCTAAACATTTGTTTTTCAGCAGACAAAGATACTTTACTTAGCAAAGTTCTGCCAGACTCCTTCCCTTCCCCAGGGCTACAACTGTTTTGCACAAAGATACGGCAACTCGGGCTTTCAGAGGATCTCCTGGGTGCTGTGGCTTTCCCAGTCGCCAAGGCCATGTTAAAAACTAGGCTATGGGACATAGATCGCCAGGAACCAATCTCAACTGCAGAAAAAACATGTTCCCCTCTTTATTTTCGACTCTCTTGGGCGCAGGAATTTAACCTTAATTATTTACAATTTTTATTTAACCCGCAAGAAAGGGCTTTTTCGCTGGCTAGGTTCAATCCTAATCCTTCTAACCTCCTTTGGGGTAAGTCTGCGGGTTTGGCAGAAAGAGATAGGATCTGCCCATGCGATGCCCACCTGGTGGAAACTGTAGCTCACATGGCCCTTAAATGTAAAATGTATGATGATCTCTGCCAACAATTTCTAGACCATCTATCTATTCCAACATGGAAACCAGAGACAGAGGTTATACGCTTCTTATTACAGGGGAGAGACCAGAAGCTCACCAAGACAGTAGCTAAGTTCCTCTATTTGATTTTTTGTCGCCGAAGTACGCTACAGGATCCTGCCCTTGCTGGAGACCCACAGAGATGAAACAGATTGCTTGCCTCTTCTTCCCTTTGGCAAATGACTGTATTGTTGAAATGGTGACGAGATCGCACTGGCCTATTTATTCTGAATGTTTGTATGTGATGCCAATAAAGGTTTGATGATGATGATGATAAGCAGCTCTTCAGGGTTTCAGACAGGTTTATTTCCTGGCCCAACCTGGTGATGCCAGGGATTGAACTTGGAACATTTTATATACAATATCAGCGCTCTAGATCTTGGGATATTGCACACGAAATCACCCTGTTTTAGGAATCTGCAAGCTTGCCAAGGAGTTGATGAGCTTCATTACTGAGTTATTTGTAGTTCGACAGATCACTCTCCTTCCGAGGCTAGGAGGGAAAATGGCAAAGACAGATTATTTATTGGGACAGAGTGATTTTTGCAGCTGTTGTTAAAGTTGCAAAACAACAAGCACAGGACGGAGCAATGGAGAATTTCTGAAACAATAATGGGATATTAGCTCTTCCCAAGGCATGATGGATAACAGCAACAACTGGGAAAAGATAGGCATAATATTTTACAGGAAGAAACATCACCGACAGAAAGATTGTCACACAGGAAGAACAAGGATACAGTTTGAGTGCATCACTTGTAGATTTATATATTATTTAATGTGTCGATATGAATGGAAGTTGTCAATATTGCAGTTGTTGTATAGGGGATTGTTATTTTGACTGGAGTGTAATTGAAATTAAAAAGATTCAGGAACGCAGAAATAAAGTAAACCATCAAACCATCAATTCTAGCACTTGGGAGCCACCTAAATTATGTAATTTGGTATTTGAACTATTGGTATTAGTAATTGTATGATAATCTGGCATTGTTATAATGAGGCTATTATTGGAATGTAACTGAAAACTAATAAAAATTATTATATATATATAAAAACTGCTCTGGAAGGTGGAATAAGTGGAGTTAGAGGATGCTCCAAGGACAGCCATTGGGCTTCATGGATGGGTGAGGATTTTGATATTGGTCTCTTTGCTCCAAATTTATCACTTTCCAGAAAATTACACAGGCTCTTTATAAAGAAACACTGTCGCTAATGACCGTGCCAAAATTAAGAATCCCACCCAAACTTTGGGTGCAAGCTCATCTCCCCATCCTGATACATGAAAAGAAATCAACACTCAAGAGAAGAAAAAAATTAAATGATTTTATTAAACATTAAAGAATAACAGACAGGAAGATTTGGGCTGAAAAGCATACAGAACGCAATCCATTTCATGACATACATTAAATTTGATCTTATTTGTTAAAATCCTGTTAACAGAGGTGGTCTTGTGGTGTGGCCAGAAATACAGTGGTCGATCATGGGAGAGAGCAAGTGAACAAAAGATTGGTACCGGACTAAGTTCACTGTATTTTGGACACAAAGAAATCGGTGGGACACAAGGCCTCTCATGACTCAACTTCTCACACTGATTTCAACGGGACATTTAACATAGTCCGGATCTAGTATTTTGTTTTATATCCTTTTCCAAGTTAAAAGAATAATATGCAAAATCACTATTCCGTTTTTCAAAGTACATGCATGCGCTAATCCAACCTCACAATCTCTCTCTCTCACACACACACACACATACACACACTCCCGAGTAAAAACAAAGGCAGGTATCGCAGGAGAAGAAACATCAGCTCAAAAGATAAGGCTAGGTTTTGCTCCTTTACATACACCTGACTCTCATGGAATGATGTGTGATCTCAAATCCTATACAGCAGGGGCAGACAGTTCATGGTACCAGGCCAGACTTGGGTTATTGACAACCGTCAGGTATAGAGAGCCTTTTAGCCATAGCCAGGCTTCCAGTTACTGGTTTCCTGTAACTCCCTCCCAGCAGATGTGCCAGTCTGGAGATTTTAGAAGGGATATCTCTTCGTATCCCCACACGGCCATCTGTCTTAGATTGGCCCTCTAGCTTGTCAAATTGCTGACCAGAGTTACAGAGTCACCAATCAGAACAAAACCCAGTTCTGCCATGGGATCGGGTCAGGGAGCTTTTGCTGGCGGGTTCTGTGCCACGATGCAGTCCAATAGCAGCCACCCGTCCCTTGAGATTGTGCCTGTTATTTTCCTGGCGCCTGGCTTGTCGTTTTCACTCACTTTGTCCTTCCAAATAAGTTGGCCACCAGTGTGCTTTGGCGGGCCAGCTGTGAGGCTGGCCGGCTGGCCGGCCAAAGTGGGAATCCTCTCGGAAGCAGCAGGAAATTCGCCTTGAGGGTTTGCAGACCAAGCAACAGGTACAGGGTTAAGAGGTGAAGCGATGGCTTCACCGCATGCTCAATGCCACAAAATATAGGCAGTTGTTATAAGTTACTACCGCTAACTGTTTGTAGAAACCTTTGTATAATTTGTGCAGTATAACCAAACTTAATCGAACATACCCCTAACCACTCTGCCTGGAAAATTCAAAGTTTACCTGGAACCATAAGATAAAGTCATTGCTTCTGAAAATAAGCTTTTAAAAGAGCAGTGCATACAAGACCACGAAGTCTGCAGCAGAACTTTATGTCTTGCAGATTATATATATATATATATATATATATATATATATATATGCCATATGTATTTCTTTAATGCCTCAAAAGGTTCCGCTGAAGTCTAGCAACTAAAGATGCGAAAAGGACTGATTCACCCAACCCAAAAATTTAGGCTGAGTTTGGTAAAGCAGTCATGTTATTGGCTTATCACTTGGGTCTCCAACTACAATGCCCATCATCCCTGACCACTGGTCCTGCTAGCTAGGAATGATGGGAGTTGTAGTCCAAAAACAGGAGACCCAAGTTTGGGAAACCCTGGTTTACCGCAAGCCAAAGTTATTTTTTTCTTCTAAGGTTGCAGTCCTATACCTACTTACCCAGTGGGATTTATGTCTGATTAGACTTGTGAAGAATTGTGGTATCATATTTTTTTAAAAAAATCACTAACACTTTTCCAGGGTACGTAGGTTCTACGCCAGGGACAGGGGATGTGTGACCCTCCCAACTCCCATATATAACTCCCAATGTCTCTACTGGCCATTCTAGATGGGGATGATGGGAGCTGGACTCTGACAACATCCACCAGGTTCCCTACATTATTGCTTATGGACACTGTAACCTCGAGTCCTTTCCTCCCGACCTAATTGCACATTGGAGAATCAAAACACCCATGGCAGACATCAGATCAGCGCCTGCAGTCATATTCAAACATCATGTCGCAATCACCACATGAAACAGTCGTGTGCATTCTGCCATAGAAATGTGAGAATTATAATTTTTAAAAGGCCTTTTTTCCCCTTCATTTTTTGCTCCCTGAAATGTGCCCACAGCCTGGCATTGTCTTTTTAAAGGGCATTTTTTAAAAAACAAAAACCTGAGCATGAATCAGCCAGAGTTAAGCACTATTAAGTCTCATTGATTTCAATAGGAAGGAGTTTGAATATGTGCTCTCCTCCCACGCTGGACTCAATGGGACTCCATGGAACTTTTATCTTTGTTTGGGTTGCATCTATGACTTTCGTTTTTACAGACGTGGGATCTTTTTATTTATTATTAAATAACTTTTTCCTTTTTCTTTTTTACTGGCCAGTAAATAATAGCTTACATTCTAAATAGCTACAACATATTCCCTCCACTGGAATAATGGTCCATAGAAATACAGACATGGTCAAACAAGTGGTACATTTTTCGGAGGGGCAAAACCCTCTCCAGGAAATCTGCATAATAATGGGAAATCAAAATTGCCTATGCCACAATAAGGTGTATTTTTGACTAAATCACCTTCAGAATAAGGTGCGTTTTATTGGAATAAACAAGTGTTTGCTTTGAGAAGAAAGCAATTCTCGAGAAACCCATAGCACCATAACTTCCTGATGTACGAATAATGTGCACCCGTTTTTGTTTTTGCTTTGTTAGAGCAAGCCTCATCGTGACAAGGAAATAACTTTTCTGGCCTGTTTGAGTGTAACAATGGCAAACCATAATACAGATAATTCACCTGGCTGGGCCTGACCTAGTCCTCAACCAGAGGCAGAATGAGGTGGGCAAGGAAATGGCAGAATCAGTGTTTCACGAGTCGGAAAGTCATAACCCACAGGCAATAAGAGGCATAGGGATGACCCTGGCCCCAAGAATCCACACAAAAGGGTGCAATTCAGGTCAGCTAGGTTTTACACAGAGTAGACCCACTGAAATGAATGAGCATGACTATGAGTAAAAGTTCAATACCACCCAGTGTACCTTATAATTTCAACAGGAATTAAAAGCACCCGAGACCTGTCGCATACATTGCAATTTTCAGCTTAACTTCTGACAGTTTTCTTCTAGCTGGAACTCACTAGAACTCAGTTGCAGTACCTCTCAGGTGGGAGCCATTGCCTCACTGGCTGACAGAGCCCAAAAGGATGTTTTTATTATGATTTATCACTGATGTTCTGTAATGTGTTTTTAATGTTGTACACCACCCTGAGATCTTTTAATAAAGGGCAGTATATAAATTGTAGTAGTACAGTGGTACCTCGGGTTACATACGCTTCAGGTTACAGACTCCGCTAACCCAGAAATAGTACCTCGGGTTAAGAACTTTGCTTCAGGATGAGAACAGAAATCATGCTCCAGCAGCACGGCGGCAGCAGAAGGCCCCATTAGCTAAAGTGGTGCCTCAGGTTAAGAACAGTTTCAGGTTAAGAACGGACCTCCGGAATGAATTAAGTACTTAACCCAAGGTACCACTGTAGTAGTAGTAGTAGTAGTAGTAATAGAATAAGGGAGGCGTTCATGGTGAGTTGCAGCACCTCTTTTTCTAGAAAAATAGCACCGACATCTGAAAATGTCAGGCATACAGGTGACAAATGTGGTGTTGCTCCTCAAGAAGCTATGAATGGCTAAACCTCCTTGTTGTGGAAAAAAACACTGGGCGGCAAAGCATGGTTTGCCTCTGTGTAATATGTGAATTGTTCCCCAAGGATGGTGCATGAAGCTTACAGTCTTCTTCTTCAATAGAGATGTTCATCAGGAAGTCATCCAGGAGACTCCACAGCTTGACCTTCCTTACAACTAATCCAGAAAGCGGCAGGAGACTGGGAGTGGCCGCCCTGACCATATAACACCGGTCCTGAAAGACCTACATTGGCTCCCAGTACATTTCCGAGCACAGTTCAAAGTGTTGGTGCTGACCTTTAAAGCCCTAAACGGCCTCGGTCCAGTATACCTGAAGGAGCGTCTCCACCCCCATCATCCAGCCTGGACACTGAGGTCCAGCTCTGAGGGCCTTCTGGCGATTCCCTCCCTGCAAGAAGTGAGGTTACAGGGAACCAGGCAGAGGGCCTTCTCGGTAGTGGCGCCCGCCCTGTGGAACGCCCTCCCATCAGATGTAAAGGAAACAAACAACTATCTGACTTTTAGGAGACATCTGAAGCCAGCCCTGTTTAGGGAAGTTTTTAATGTTTGAAGTTTTATTCTGTTTTTGTCCTCTGTTGGGAGCCACCCAGAGTGGCTGGGGCAACCCAGTTAGATGGTGTGTGTGTGTGTGTGTGTGTTTACAAATTTAAAAAATTACCGTATTTTTCCGTGTATAAGACGCCCCCAAGTATAAGACGACCCCTATTTTTTTAAAACCCCAAATTAAGAAAATGCACTATGCACGATCTGTGTATAAGACGATCCCTTGTTTTAAACTTCAAAAATTTAGGAAAAAATATAGTCTTATACATGGAAAAATATGGTATTATTATTTGGGAAGCCTGCCTCACTCTAAAGAACCATTGGGTTTGTGAAGTGTATACATGAACAAAAGAAGAGGAAGTCACACAAAAAGGATGCTCCTCAGGGTGGAGGCGACACCTTGCCACAGCAGCAAATGTGAAATGTGAAAGAAGGCAGGGAATGTGCAAGCTTTAGTACTGTTTCGGTCAAGATGCTGTTTAACTTAAGCCCTGTGATGAGCATCACAGAGTATTTTGTGCCTTTTTCCCTTGGCAAATGGGACTCACTGCATTGTTGTTGGAAAAAAACCATCCTCATTACATGAATGGGAAAACAGTTATTTATTTATTAGAAATACAAAGGACCCTGGAGAACCGTGGTTTGTTTGTTTTTTTAACTTTCATAAAATGTTTAGGGCACAATCCATCCGAATGTGGGCAAGGCCAGCTATGCACGGAGGAATTCTGCAAAGACCCAGTGAGGTATGTTCCCTTTAGCGGCTTTCATACACTGCAGCGCCCTGAACCAAGAAATGGATATATTGCACGACTCCCTGTCTCAATCCGGCCCATGGTCGCCCACGTGCGCAGTGTTCATCCTCTGAGCATGCGCCAAGGTGGCACGTGCTGAGGAGCGCAAGGAACAGCAGTGCCCGATTCAACCCAATGCGATCTCTTCGCATGCAAGCAGCTGCACCCACATGGCGATGGATCGTGCCCCAACGTAAAGCACAAAACCCTTCCAAAGTCTCAGTGGTAAGCAAAAAATAAGAAAGATCTCAAGGGGGAAGGGGGAACAACAATCTAGAAGCGTCTCCTCTCTGTACAATGCTAACGAATATATAAAGAGATATATATCTTTGCTCTGCCTTTAAACATGGAATAATTTCTTTTTATTTCTCCTCGCTGTGATATATGCTCTCTCTCTCTCTCAAAATACACAATCAGCATTCGTCCTTGAAAAATACTGTACAAAAAAAGCACACTCTAATGATTCTGTAGAAACTTTATACATATCGTAATAATCGTGTTCTTTTGGTCTTCAGAAAACATTTGTATGGATTGGATTCGCCACAGTATGACAACACCATCACCTTTCCATACAGACCTGCATCTCCTACATTCACTTTTTAAAAAAATCTCCTGCAGAAAGTCCACTATAATATAACACAAGTGTCGAAAGCAAAATGAGAACAAAAAGCGGAAAACAACAGGAGAAAGTTTGAGAGCCATCGGTTTTATGATACAATCGGAAACAAAACATCTCAAGGAAAAGTAGGTTTTGCAAAAAGTGACTTCTCGCCGAGTCAAAAGAATCTAGAGAAACAGCAAGGGAGAAGTCCACAGAAAGTATTTTACAGAAAAGTTGAATATACAGCTGAATTTAAAGTCTTTAATCACATAAACAGGACTTGAATAAATGCAAATGGCAAAGGAAATAACAACCGTAACAGCAATAATAACAATAAACCCTCCAAACTCCAAAAGCGGTGAATATTTGAAAGTTTTCGTTTTTGTTCTCTTGCCAACGAATTGCCATGTGTCTTTTGCACCCCAATCCAGCAAGGGCAATCACTGCCCCCTTATGCCCTATTAACACCAGTGGGCTGTTTGAGGAATGGGGCAGGTGTGGGGCTGAGTCCAAACACAACCTCATCCTCTCCCCATTAATAGGGAATCGATGTTGCCATAGGAGTCTGGACCAGTTATACTTTCAGTTTGGGGGGAAGGCGGTGGACATCTGCAAGCACAGCAGTATATTTGCACCAGGCTGGCCCAACTGGGGAGGTAAAACTACACAACCTCTTGTGGTGCCACAATCTGAGAACTGCCTGTTTTGGCTGTCACCACCTTGACAAACTGTAGCAGCCTGCAATTTCGGAGGAGGTCCATAGGGGCAGCAGAGCAGCTCGATGGCTGGGTTGAATATCCCACGCAGCAGCAACGGGAAAGTTGTAGCCCTCCAGTTGCTCCCGGACTCCAACTCCCATGAGCCACAGCAAGTGTGGCCAATGGCCAAGGATGATGGGAGTTGTAGTCCGGCAACATCCAGCGAGCCAAAGGCCTCTCCCCGTTCCTGCAGTCAACAGCCTTTTGATTTCTGCACAGACACACCCCTCACTAAAGGGCAGACATAGCTGTATGGAAGTGTAGAAGAAGTTAACGGGCAATTTTTAACAGAACAGTATCCTAAGTCAGCACTTGGTAATGTTAACGTTGTGCTCAGCGTATGGCACCAGCAGGGGGAGCAAGACTTTGATTTGTCATAAGGTGGCAAAATGCCTAGACTGGCCCTCTAAGTGCACCTTCTGCCTGCACCATCGCTTGACTGCTTTAGAAAACTTATCCCCCACTTTTCTGTTTGAGCATTTGAATCGCTCAGTGGGGACAGCTTCCAGCAATTAAAAACCAAACCATGTTTGAGAGGTTCTTGTAGCAGCCTATCAATAAGTTTTTACAAATTACAAAGGAAAACCCAGTGGAAAATTATCTTATCAGGTAGGGCAGGTGATCCTATGTCCACCTGGAACATTGCAAGTAACATACCAGAGTGCACAAGAGGATTATTGCTTAGGTTCAGGCTGTGCAAAACAAAACAAAAAATAACACTCCCTGTGATTTATTTGCAGTTTTTGGGTTTTAGAGCCATGAAAGGAAACTATCAGCTGTTTCTTACGAGATCTACCGAGAAAACTATCAGCAGCAGTGCGAGCCTGAAGATATCTTCTTTTTTTTAATCACCAAAGCTTAAGAACACAACAAAACAAAAGAAGGAGAAAAATCTATAAATTAAATATTTCTGCAGTGTAGCATTAAAATATCATTTGTGCATTTGCAGTAGCAAGTTAAAAATGTCTGATTAGGCATATTTAAACAATAGATTCAGGGAGGGTAGGCTTTGTTTTCTTCCTCCTCCATTTATAGCGTGATTCATTCTTTCCGTTCTCGTTTTCGAAATTAAATCAAGGGAATGGCAAAAGGGTAAAATAATAATAGTAATAATAATAATAATAATAATAAAACCTAGTTCAAAGCAGCACTGGAAAATATTTAATTATTTAATGAAAAGCTTAACTATGGCAGGTTTCAGCAGTCCCAGTGAAAACGAGTCACCCTTCCATTTCCATAAAAATGGGGAGTGCTGAGGTGAACATGCACACACGCCCACACATACACAGACCCGCGCATGCGTGTACGCACATAGAAAAAAAAAGTTGTACGCTGTTTTTTTGTTTTGTTTCTGTTTTCCTGGTAAAGTGCTGATGGTGAAAGGTTGGGGGCGTTTGGGTGTGGTGCTATCAAGCAATAAACACACTGTCCATCGATTCAAATGCCAACCCACCGAAAAGAAAAAAGAAAGAAAAGAAAAGAAAGAAGAAGGAGGGGCAGAAAGGGAGGACAGAAAGGGGTGGGTGGGAATGCCATTTACAGAGGACCATGCCGGGCTTCATACTTGGCGAGGACATTCTTGCATTTGCCCAGCTCTTTCCGTAGATCGGCCACTTCCTGGCGCAGAGCGGAGTTCTCCTTCTCCAGGAACGAGGCGCGAATGGCAATCTGGTTCTCCTTCAGCCTTCGAGCGTCTCTGGACCGCTTGGCAGCCATGTTGTTCTTTCTGCGTCTTGCCCAGTATTTGTCATCCTGCTCATTAATCACAGAGAGGGAGAAAGGCAGCGTTAGACTTCAGCAGATTAACGGAGCTTCTGCTACAAGGCACCAGGGCAGGGTCGGCACAGCGCACTTCTACTGGCAGGGCTACATATATTCTGCTCGGCCTTGGCTGCATACATGTCATACTAGGGACTGGCAGCGGCTGCCGGTACCATGTAACACCAGTCCCCAAAGACCTACACTGGCTCCCAGTACGTTTCCGAGCACAATTCAAAGTATTGGTGCTGACCTTTAAAACCCTAAACAGCCTCAGCCCAGTATACCTGAAGGAGCGTCTCCACCCCCATTGTTCAGCCCGCTGAGGTCCAGCTCCGAGGGCCTTTTGGCGGTTCCCTCACTGCGAGAAGTGAGGTTACAGGGAACCAGGCAGAGGGCCTTCTCTGTGGTGGCACCCTCCCATCAGATGTCAAGGAAATAAACAACTATCTGACTTTTAGAAGACATTTGAAGGCAGCCCTGTTTAGGGAAGTTTTGGACATTTGATGTTTTATCAAATTTTTAATATTCTGTTGGGAGCTGTCCAGAGCGGGGTATAAATAATAAGTTGTTGTTGTTGCTGTTGTTGTTGTTGTCACATAAATAATCCTCAGCACTATTGTTAACGGTGCTGTGGGGGTTAAACTACAGTTCCCAGGATTTCTGGTAGGATTTCTTTAAATGTATGGTCTGTATGCAGACCAAATCTGAAAATCCCAAGTAGTATGGGCTTCTGTTGTTCTTGTTTTAAGTCTCTAACTCTCATGTTTATGCATACTTTTTGTGAATGTTTCATTTCATTTCTGAATGTTTCATTTCTGAAACACTCTTTTCTGAATGTTTTAGTTCACTTTCAATTTGTACACCGCCTTTCTCTATCACTATACACAGAAGGCAGTTTGCAAGCTGAAGAAACAACAAAACAGAAACGGTCACACGCTTAATATCAATCTGATCCAATACAAAAAAAAAAGTCACACTAACTTTTAAATAGACAAGTTATATCAAATAAAAAAATCTCTAATAATCTGTTCAAATGTATTAAATGTTAAATAACAGCAAATAATAATTAAACAGTTTGCACTTATCAATTGCAACAAAGAATTACTAAACTGTAATCTGTAAAAATAACAGCAAGTCACACAAAGCATACAAAACCCTGTAAAAAGGAGAAACAAGGACACACAACTTTTTATTATTTTTAAAAAATATCCCTCAACTCCCTGTTGCCCAGAGAGGAAGACTGGAATAAAATGCAAGCACTTTAAGCTACCCAAAAGTAACATTTGCATGCTCTGAAACCATCCTTACAATGCAACCCTATACAAAGCTGGCTACTCAGAAGTAAGTTCCACTGAGTTCAGTGGAGCTTGCTTCCAGGTAAGTGGGTACCAGACTGCAGTGTATCACAGCAGCCTGGCTCCAGAGATATGCCAAAACCCTCTTTCCCCTCCCATTCTTCCTACACCCCGTGGGTTACATCTTGGCTTTATAATTTCACATCTCCGTCATCATCTCTGCAAAAGAACACAAAAACCAGCTTCAACTTCAGTTCATTCCTGGGCTTATCCAGGCCACGTACAACTTTATTTTAACAAATTACAAAGGCAAATCCTTTAATCCGGTCCTGAAAGAAGCAGGGCTGGCATCTAGAATCACATGCAGCCGAGAGACGATTGGCCGGCCTAATCTGCTTACCCCTTTCCAGAACTACTCTTCTGCACCATGGGAAACGGGAGAAAGCTGTGACCAAACATTCTGGGAAGAGGCGAGGGCAACTCTCGCTGTTATCTTAGAAGAAACTAGAATGACAGCCGTAAACTCCACTGAGCAAGCAAGGGGCTTGACAGCGCTTCCCTGCTCTTAGTTTTCCCCAGGTTCCGTCCTCTAACTGTTCCAATGTATTCAAAGGTTTATGTTTCTTGAGGCAAGCCAGTAAATGAACACGGTGAATATGCACGCACTGGTTGCACTAGGATGTCATCTGGACTTAATAAGCTGAGATATGAATTAGCCTTGTTCCCCTGCACACAGCTACTTCGTTCCTCCCTTTGTGCAACCAGGGAAAGCAGGTCAGGAAGCCATAGTTGGCTACAGTTTCTAATTTATGCCCGAACTGAGAAACTATGGTTAAGGGCTTCCGAGCAAACTACAGTACAGTCGTACCTTGAAAGTCGAACAGAATCCGTTCCGGAAGTCCGCTTGACTTCCAAAACCAAACTGTGGCATCTGATTGGCTGCAGGAAGCTCCTGCAGTCAATCAGAAGCCGTGGAAGCCCCATTGGACGTTTGGGTTCCAAAAGAACGTTCGCAAACCAGAACAATCACTTCTGGGTTTGGGGTGTTCGGGAGCCAAAACGTCTGAGTTCCAGGGCGTTCGGGAGCCAAGGTACTTAACTTTAAGTTGCAGCTTAAAGGGTAAAGGGACCCCTGACCATTAGGTCCAGTCGTGGACGACTCTGGGGTTGCGGCGCTCATCTCGCTTTACTGGCCGAGGGAAGCAAACAACTTCCGGGTCATGTGGCCAGCATGAGTAAGCCGCTTCTGGCGAACCAGAGCAGCGCACGGAAACACCGCTTACCTTCCTGCCGGAGTGGTACCTATTTATCTACTTGCACTTTGACGTGCTTTGGAACTGCTAGGTTGGCAGGAGCAGGGACCAAGCAACGGGAGCTCACCCCATCGCGGGGATTCGAACCGCCGATCTTCCAATCGGCAAGCCCTAGACTCTGTGGTTTTAGAGCACAGTGCCACCCGCGTCCCATAAGCTGCAGCTCAACACACCAATATTAAGAATATGTATGATTTGTTAGACATACCCCTCCATCCCTGTTTTACAAACAACAAATCGCAAACATAAGAATTTTAGGCAATTTCCCAATTAGCTGGGAACTAAATTATCCTGACTATTTATTTTTAGTATTAGTGTTATATCTTTTACTGTTCATTTTATTTATTTTTAAATGAGTTTCTTGATAATTTCAATATTCCTTGCAACTCAAAGGTTTTACAGTCGTACCTTGGAAGTCAAACGGGATCTATTCCGGAAGTCTGTTTGACTTCCAAAACGTTCGAAAACCAAAGCACGGCTTCCGATTGGCTGCAGGAAGGTCCTGTAGCCAATCGGAAGCCACAGAAGCCCCATTGGACATTTGGCTTCCAAAAGAACATTTGAAAACCGGAACACACTTCCAGGTTTCGATCATTTGGGAGCCAAGGCATTTGAGATCCAAGGTACGACTGTACTACAATTGAGCAATTTATATAGTTTTCTTTGAATAAATACAAGAAATAAATTTATATTTATAATTACTGTATATTTATGTCCTGTCCTCCTTCCCAAATGAACCCAAACCTTTATCTCACATGGGAACTCAAGGATAACTGCTTGATTTTATTATAGATATTTTTATACCGCCGCCAGGTCCCTTCCCATATTCATGGTTGCCCATCCAAACATTGACCTCACCTAAACCCCCTTAGCTTCAGCAAAGTTGCTACATCCTGCGCCTTCAGATCATGCCATGTTATGGGCAACCATTAAGATGTTTCAACCGGAGAACCATTCTACCCCTCGCTCTGTGAGTTTCACCATTCATTAACTTTTAATCCACTTGGCTCTCAAAATCTTATGTGCCGACATTATTTTTGGATGATTAAATAGCAGCTTCTTTCATTCCAGAGAATGAGGGAGCCAAGGAAGCACTTGTCTAGGGATAAAAACCTGCCACACAGAAAAATTGAAGTGGATCAGACAGGTCAAATGAAAGCAACACAGCTCAGATTTTTTTTTTAAGAAGGGAAGAAAGAAAGAAAAAAGGAAGGAAGGAAGGAAGGAATAGAATAATCAGAGACCCAAGGTGTATTTTTATTTTAATAATATTTTAATGTTTCACTTTTAATTGCATTTGACCTATTAGATAGAATGCAGGAAGGGGAAGTTTTGATTTGTAAGGTTCCTGTGCGCTTCAATTTGACAACCTTATTGCTCTCTGGGCCATAAACAAGAAACCCTGTCTAACCCTGAAAGTGGTACAAGTGGCCCTCCAGGATGTTATTCTATGTCCTAATCCCAGAACATTTTAGTCCATCTAGAAATCAGCAGAATGGCTCTAGGACCATGCCTTACTCTCTGGACCTCCAGAGCAGTTTCCACCAAGTTGGACACCGGTCCCAATTTACCTTCAGATCCTCTGGGATGAAGACTTTGCGGGCTTTCTTAATCATTGGCTGCGGCTTCAGTTCCTCCTCGGAGAACTTGCGCTTCCGGGGGTCAAACATCTCCTGGCCAGGAATGCTGGAGAGAGCGAGATCAGCCGGGTCAGGTTCATACCCCACTGGAACCTGAATGGTCTCTGGATCGATGGGGCTTGGCGTGTTGCGATTTGCAGGCACGATTTGACCTGCAGAAAGCAGAGACACCATGGTAAGGAAACCGAAAGGGAGAGAACGTTGCAAATTTGTGGTATAACACACACACACACACAAAACACTCCATGACCCATGAAAATGGGGAGACCGAGGACCTCAAAAACTTTACTGAACCTTGCAAAGATGGCAACGCACATCTCAAATATGAAAACGCTGTTACAAGCAACCACACCCTAGGCCAACCCCAACCTCTCTCACCACCACAAGTGAACAGCAGAGAACCTGCACAAGCAACGCTGACACCAAACCCTACATATATTAAATGAAATAGAAACATTGGCACCCAACCCCACCCCTACCCATCTTCCCCCTTTCCCCCTTTTCTTGCTAATATCTCAACAAATGAAACCGATTTGTAAAAACGTTACATGGAAAAAATACGAGAGAGAGACATTACACATACTTCTGTAAATCAAGAAAATCTTTAATAAAAATACATTAAAACAAAACAAAAACAAAACAAAAATATGAAAACCAGAGTGCATACGAGTTATAAAGTACAAATAATCCTGGAAAATATATGAGATTGATTACAGAGGAATAGTAAATCCTAGAACGATGAGACTTAACTTTAATTTTCTTTCCCTGTTCATAAAACCCGCAAGTGGATAAATGAGTCAAGCAGAGGCCACCCATGTTCCTCTATGTTTGTAAAAACAATGAAATCATTCCATATTGTACCCAAACAAATCTACATTGGTCCTCCAGACTGGACTCCAACTCCCATCGTGCTTTACCACCGGTCTGCATGGCTGGGAATGATGGGAGTTGGAGTCCAATACATTTCCCAAGCCCTCTGCTCTATGGCCTCATGCTCCTTGTTCCATGGAACTGCCAATGTTTGCGCCCAAACTGAAAAGAAAACACACACACCCAAATGCCATTTCTCTCATCTGAAATTGGTTCTCAGCCTTCCATGTCCAACTTTCCAGAATAACAGGACATTATAAAGAGGTGTAGGGGGGAAATAGGGTGAAGTTAGAGGTGCCACAAAGGACACAAGCCAAGCTGATTGTGCAACACGTTCTACGGACGCTACCAATAACATTTTCTTCCAGGAAGGGCTGGGAAACACTTGGGAGATGAGAGGCAGATCAAAGGGATATTTCTTCCCCAGAATACACAAAAAAATGGAAAGGGGCAGCAAGGAATTCAATTGTTATCCCTCGTACCCACAGAAGAGTTTCCTTCTCACACTGTGCGCCGTGTCACTCAATGCCAAGATCTGAAGTGCTGAAAACTGGGCATATCCTGCCTGGTTTCATAAACACCGTCCCATTGATTAAACAGTCTTGTCGCAGAGAATCAAAAGTTGATGTTGGAGGATAAATCAGGACGTTTTAATATAATTCCATTTGTAGGAAGGGTGGCTAAGGAGCATTCTCAGAAAATCAGCTGTGAGCCAGAAAGTGCCTGGTGGTCGCCGGCTTGTCTCACACGTTTTCCTGTTTTCAGAGCACTTTTGAACATGTTCAGAATGCGCTCTCTAGATACGGGCCTGGATTTGAGACACTGGAGCCCTTTGGTTCACTTTGCCAACTCTGGGCTGGATTTGAGTCATTTTCACCACCCACTAAGCAATGTGTACATTTCCATTCTATTTAAGCAATCCTATCTTGTGCTGCTGGGACACGGGGGGCGCTGTGGGTTAAACCACAGAGCCTAGGACTTGCCAATCAGAAGGTCAGCGGTTTGAATCCCCGCGACGGGGTGAGCTCCCGTTGCTCAGTCCCAGCTCCTGCCAACCTAGCAGTTCGAAAGCACGTCAAAGTGCAAGTAGATAAATAGGTACCGTTCAGGCGGGTAGGTAAACGGCATTTCCGTGTGCTGCTCTGGTTCGCCAGAAGTGGCTTAGTCATGCTGGCCACATGACCCAGAAGCTGTATGCTGGCTCCCTCGGCCAATAAAGCGAGATGAGCACCGCAACCCCAGAGTCGGCCACAACTGGACCTAATGGTCAAGAGTCCCTTTACCTTTACCTTATCTTGTGCTGCTATGTGTGACTGACAGCGTGGTCATCTGCATGTTTACTTCAAACCAGTGTTTCTCAAACTTGGCGTTCCAGCTGTTTTTGGACTACAATTCCCATCATGCCTAGCTAGCAAGACCAGTGGACAGGGATGATGGGAACTGTAGTCCAAAAACAGCTGGAGACCCAAGTTTGGGAAACACTGCTTCAAACCTACTGCTATCAAAGGGGATCATTTGATGCTCTGCAAACTTGCCTTATGATGATGCTTCACTGAGCTGAACAGGACTTACTTCAAAGTAGTAAATCCACACTAGGATACCTGTTGAATCTCCGGCCAGCCTCACTAAGATTCGCTTTTACTGAGCTGTGTTTTCAAGATATGTCCTCCGCCATCCTAGATGGCTGATATAACAGGATACCGTACGAAGACAGACTCTGAATATGTGGGCAATCGCCGGTGGAAGACATATTGCACTATTTACTATATTGCCTGCTTTACATTGGACCTGGCAGATGATTTGTCACCATCCGTACAGGAAAAATGTCTCTCCCCAGCAGCGAAGGTCCTATGGCTTCAGTGACTCATAAAGTTGCCCTTTTTGCTTTGGCGGCAAAAAATATCAGAAAGAATATCCTGGACCATTTAACAGTGAGCCGTAAGGGAGACGCAGAGATCTAAATAGAGACCACTATTTGTGCCACGACACCCCTTTTGCTTGTATTTATTTTTGATTCAGATCTATCATGGCCATGGCTAGTACAATAACATTTTTTGTATTTACACACACACTAGAACGATGCTAACATGGCAGCCCATGTACCATATTGTTCCTGCACACAAGGGGACAAACTATTCGTCTGCCTGCTTCTTGCTCTTAAAAGCCAAAATAGGATCATGGGAAGATTTCAAACTGACTACCACTTCCCTTGTGTGCCTTGCTTAATTGGTGAAAAAAACCGCAACACAATTCTAGGTGTGTTTACTCAAAAGAAAATCCTCTGGAATCTCTATGGCGCTCTGAGGTCAGTTCGGGTAGGACGACAGCATTGCTACAGGATTTGAAGATGCCAGCCCCCACATTCACAGCTTCATGCCAGAGAAGGGGAACCTGCGACCCATCACAGACCTTGTTGAACTCCAACTCCCATCAACCCCAGTCAACAGAGCCAACGGATGATGGGAGTTGCTACAGGTTGCCCATTCTTGCTTTTATAATTTGAAGCACAAAGGTCTGCCTCTCTTCAGGAACTTGTACTACAGTGATACCTCGGGTTACATACGCTTCAGGTTACATAGGCTTAAGGTTACACACTCTGCTAACCCAGAAATAGTGCTTCAGGTTAAGAACTTTGCTTCAGGATAAGAACAGAAATCGGGCTCTGGCAGCGTGGCGGCAGCAGGAGGCCCCATTAGCTAAAGTGGTGCTTCAGGTTAAGAACAGTTTCAGGTTGAGAACAGACCTCCGGAATGAATTAAGTACTTAACCCGAGGTACCACTGTATTATGCAGCCTAACTCACATTTCACAAAATCGCATCACGTGATCTACAAAAATTACACCAAAGAAGAAGCTAAAAATAGTTTTGATAACTCTACAAGAGCAACTGAAGACAGATTTCGAAAACATTACAGGAATGAACAGATAAGACATTTTATCCATCTGGAGAAGCTTCTAAAAACAGATATATCACCCATTGTTTCCAGGAAGTACAGACAGCAGGGGCCTGTAAAAAAAAAAAAAAAAAAAAAGGAAAAGGACCCCTGGATGGTTAAATCAAGTCAAAGGCAACTATGGGGTTGGGGTGCTCATCTTGCTTTCAGGCCGAGGGAGCCGGTGTTTGTCCACAGACAGCTTTCCAGGTCATGTGGCCAGCATGACTAAACCGCTTCTAGCGCAATAGGACACAGTGACAGAAACAAGAGCACAAGGAAACGCTGTTTACCTTCCCACTGCAGCGGTACCTATTTATCTACTTGCACTGGCATGCTTTCGAACTGCTAGGTTGGCAGGACCTCAGTATGGATGCTTCCTCAAAGAACAGGGGCAGCCATACTAAAAGCTCTGCTCTGAGTTACTATATAGCGTGTTTCTGATATTGGGGGGGGGGGGGGGCTTTAGAAAAAAAACTATGATGCAAAATGCAGTGACCTGCTGAGTCTATATAAGAAAAGGCACTCTCTTCCTATTTTGCTAATTAGGAAGAAATAATCCACATGTGAATGAGAGAGATCAATGAGAGAGAGAGAGAGAAAAATCAATTCCTCTTTGAAACAAAAGCATTCCAGACCTTTGTGCCAATTCACTCAAACGCTATCAGGGATACCAACCCGGAACATTATCTTTGAGGGACATTCGCTGTCTGCAAGCAATCCTGCCAGGAGACACTCAACCTAACACAATTCTTATATGTGCACAGGTACTCCTTTTTCACGAGCAGACAATAGTTGGCTGCATTTTCAGTCCCGTTCCACCGCGATTCCACAGGTATTTCTGTTGAACCGCCCACCAAATCCCTACTGGGCCTGGTGTGCTATTTTTAGAAAGCATGGGTTCATCCCAATCCAAGGTGGGTCAAATGAGGACAGTGTACAAAAGGTCACATGTCTAGCAGAGAGCGCTGGGGACTAATCCTGCCTCAGCAAACTCCGCAGCTGTGACAACATCCAGTAGGAGAGGTGGTCAGCAAACCGCAGCCAGCTGAAAGGGAAACCTGCAAGCAAAGGGGAACACTTTGTTCCCTCTTAAAATTGCCGTACAGTGTTCGCGCTCACCCTTCATCCTAAAAAACAGTAAGAAAGAATTCAGTTCCACTGACAAAGGAACACAGGATACCAAGCCAGACCACGGGTTCATCTACAGTAGCTTTCGTTTCGAAAGAAAACACAAGCAGTTCCTGCTGAGGCCGAACACCTTCGCGCAGACGAAGAGTTCTGTGACGCTCAAAAGCTCGCTTCCAGTTGGTTTATTTATTTTATTTTCTACAAAAAAATAACAAAAGAGCTCTGCTCATTCCGTGGCACCAGCCTGATTTGGGCAGGGACCTTTAGGAAGTCCTGTGAAAAACAAAATTGGGGTGTGTATGAGTCAGTGCCCGGGTGCCTTTTCTGTTCCCTACAGAACAACCTTCGCAATGTCTCTTCTGCGTTTTGTGCACCACGCCCGTGTGGCATAACTCTTCAGGAATCACCGGGCTGCTTGCTGACCTTCCCACTTAACTATGAAGCAACAGTGGTGGTTGCGATACTTAAACTCTGTACACAACCCAAAGCTCAGGTGCATGCCTTCAGTGGAAGCGATGAATACCCTCAATTGAAACCAAGAGGATTAAGTAAAACATATTGTGTAATGGGAAACAATGTAATGTTTTCGGCATATACAGTGGTACCTCGGGTTAACTACTTAATTCGTTCCGGAGGTCCGTTCTTAACCTGAAACTGTTCTTAACCTGAAGCACCACTTTAGCTAATGGGGCCTCCTGCTGCTGCCGCGCCGCCGGAGCACAATTTCTGTTCTCATCCTGAAGCAAAATTCTTAACCTGAAGCACTATTCCTGGGTTAGCGAAGCCTGTAACCTGAAGCATATGTAACCTGAAGCGTATGTAACCCAAGGTACCACTGTACTACATTTTCACCTGCTGTTAATAGCGTCCGGGCAGATTTTTCTATTTAAAATGTCCAGGAAAATCTAGCCCATGTTGGAAGTGGAGTTTTTTTTTGGGGGGGGGGGGGGAATTCCCTTTAAAAATTGCTCAAAATCTTTTTTCTTTTTTTTTGAGATTTTGCAAAAAAAAGAGAGGAAGAAGCTCAAAACTTTGGGCAAAACAAAACAAGAGCTCAACAACTTAGCAAAAGAACAAAACAAAACCCCAACCTTTATGCCAGGATCACTTTTTGAAATATGGCAACCCTAATTTTAGTGTAAAGAGTGAACTGCATTTTATCCTGCTTTTTTGTGTTGTTGGCACTGCTCTCCTTTTATTTTCTTGCACAGCTGAGATTTTTGGATATTAAACTTTTGGGATATGAAGCGATATCTGTTATGGATGCTTTAGTTGAGATCCCTGCATCGCACAGGCTCAGACCAGAAAACCTTTGGGTCTCTTCCGACTCTACAATTCGACGATTCTAGGAGATAGATGGTAAATAGGTAGATAAAGAAATAAGCCTGGGAGATCAGTTCAACACGCTGCTCAGGCATGAAGCTGAGTAGATGTGCCGAGGCAAGGCGGTCTCTATCAGCCAACCTGCCTGTTGTTGTGAAGATTAACCAATGAGGAAGGGTGGGATTTAAACGTGATAAAATCATATGCAAAGCCTTCTTCCCACAGATGAGTAACAGCAGAGTAATTAAGTGCAGAAGTGCTTTTTTTAAAGCGTCTATTTGTTTTCCCAGTAGTGATGTATGCAAGTGAGAGCTGGACCATCAAGAAGGCTGATCGCTGAAGAATTGATGCTTTTGAATTATGGTGCTGGAGGAAACTCTTGAGAGTCCCATGGACTGCAAGAAGATCAAACCTCTCCATTCTGAAGGAAATCAGCCCTGAGTGCTCACTGGAAGGACAGATCGGGAAGATGAGGCTCCAGTACTTTGGCCACCTCATGAGAAGAGAAGACTCCCTGGAAAAGACCCTGATGTTGGGAAAGATGGAGGGCACAAGGAGAAGGGGACGACAGAGGACGAGATGGTTGGATAGTGTTCTCGAAGCTACCAGCATGAGTTTGACCAAACTGCGGGAGGCAGTGGAAGACAGGAGTGCCCGGCATGCTCTGGTCCAGGGGGTCATGAAGAGTCAGACACGACTAAATGACTAAACAACAACAATTTGTTTCATAGTCCTATAGGGCGTTTTGTTTTGCTGCCCCTGTTTCTCAGTGTGCAGACTAACATAGAGAAACACAAGCAACAGCACCTCACAATTTGCGAGTTATTGAGAAATTTGAGAATCGGGTATTCTCCAGCAGGGGGAACACTTTCCATGCCACATTTTCCCTCCACACCTGAGATATTTAATGAAATGAAAAGGATGTTTAAAATAACCTTTGTAAAAAACAACAACCAGAAGCTTTTCTTTTGGGAATTATAAAAAATTGTATAGAAGCTTATTCATGTATGCTACTACAGCACACTTGCCCAAAAATGGAAAGAAGAAGAAGAAGAAGAAGGAGAAGAAGAAGAAGAAGGAGAAGAAGAAGAAGAAGAAGAAGAAGAAGAAGAAAAAGTAGTAGTAGTAGTAGTTCCAGCAAAGGAAGAATGGATACAAAAACTTATGGAATATGCAGAAATGGCAAAAACTCGCCGGACGAATAAGAAATCAACTTTTAAAAATAGAATAGAAATGGTTTGCTGAATATTTACAGATAAATTGTAAACAGATAAGAACATTGGCATTGTAATAAACTGCAGTTTCATAAGAGCATATATTTAAAGAAGATGAATAAATGAGCAAATTAGGTTCATTTGGATATGCAGAAGATATTAAAAATAAATTTAAGGAATTGCAGAAGGGGGGGAAGGAAGTCAAGTTTTGAAATGTCAAAATGATTGTGAAATTAATGCAATGTATAAAGTTAGTGAAATGTGCAAACTTGAAAAGTATAAATAAAAATTCAATGGAGGCTCTTTACAGCAGAGAAAACCATCCCGGGGCCTTTCATGTGGCGCTGCGCTATAACTCCCACCGCCTCTTACCAGCAGCTATGCTAGCTGGGGCTAATGTAAGCTGGCGTTGGTTGCCCCTCCTCTATAGTGTTTCCAAGTATTTCCCCTCCCCCCCCCAAGCAGTTTGCAAGGCCTGGTGCTTGAAAGGATCGTCAAACGCGCAGGTGCGTTGAAGGAGCACTCAGCTGCCTCTTCAGTCAAAACGCCTGAAAATCTGGCACGACCAGTCACAGGGCACTCTGAGGTATTCGTCGTGAGAGCAAAAATAAATGATGCTGCGTTGCATGGCCAGGTGATATTCAAAGCCACGTTCAGCTATGTGCGGTTGTGAGACTGAGCTGCTACTGAAGCTCTGAAACAGCAAGTAAGTAATAAATGTTGGAAATGTAAAGAAAAAGAGGGAACATTTTATCACATGTGGTGGGAATGTAAAAAGGTGAAATGCTTCTGGGAGATGATATATAATGAGTTGAAAAAAATGTTGAAATATACATTTATAAAGAAACCAGAAGCATTTCTATTTTGGGCATTGGGGGAGTGATATAAATAGAAAGGAATGTAAGCTCTTCTTATATGCAATAACAGCAGCAAGAATATTATTGGTCCAAAAATGGAAGCAAGAAGAGTTACCGTCGATTGAAGAATGGAGGATGAAGTTAATGGACTATGCAGAATTAGATAAACTAACAGGAAGGATTCGAAACTGGCGAGACCAGAAATTCACGGAAGACTGTAAATTTACGGACTATTTGAAAAGTAATTGTGAAGAACAGATGACATTTGTAGGGTTGCAAGAAGTTTTGTGAGGAGTATTATTAGAAGTATTGTAAAAATGGACAAGGGGGAGGATGATTTGTTAAGAGATGTAAAGGCAATATAAAGTTAAGAAATGCATAAGAAGTGGTTAAAATGGTGGATCATCAGAGGTGCTGATGGAAGTCCAAAAAGATTGTATAAGTGATAAGTTCTGTGGTACATTTTATAATTTATATGTTAAAATTAATTTTAAAAATTATAAAAAAGAAGCTCTGAAACAGCGTCTTGAAGCTGCTCTGAGGGTCAGATATTCGGAACGGAAGGATCCCAATATTGGCCACCCCCTCTAGCCTACCACGAAGCCTCTGGTATATCTCCGTTGACTGCAATACAGCGGTACCTCGGTTTACGAACTTAATCCGTCCCTGAAGTCCAGTTCTTAAACCAAATCCGTTCTTTCTTTTTTGAAATGAATTTTTATTATTTTCTTCATATAATCCTTTTTCCAACAATCCTTATTATCACAATATAATCCCTTTGACTCTGCCGAGTCTTGACTTCCCTCCCTCCCCTCAGCTGGTATATACATCACATACTTATCGCGTATATTATTGTCATAACACTACTATTTTACATTGAAGGTATTATACCAGTCCTGCTAGTGTCTTTAGACTTTTATAGTTCTCCTTTAAATATTCAATAAATTTACTCCAGTTGTTATTGTATCTCTGGTCCTCTTGGTCCCAGATCCTCCCTGTCAATTTGGCAAGTTCCGCAAAATCTGTCATCTTCACCTGCCACTCCTGAATGGTTGGTAAATCTTGTGTTTTCCATTTTTGGGCCAGTAGAGTTCTCACGGCAGCTGTGGCATACATAAACAAATTCTGATCTTTTATTTTAATCTCTCTTCCCACTAGACCTAGCAGAAATGCCTCTGGTCTTTTGGGAAAAGTGTACTTTCATATGTGGTGTGACAAGGTTAAAAGATTCTGGGAATTAATTTATAATGAACTTAAAAAGATATTTAAGTAAACCAAATCCGTTCTTAAACTGAGGAGTGCTTTCCCTAATGAGACCTCCTGCTGCCGGTGCCCTTCCACCATTCAGCTTCCGTTCGTAGACTGAGGTAAAGTTTGCAAACACTACATCTGGTTTTGCGGAGTTCGTAAACTGAATAGTTCGTAAACAGGACCGTTCGTAAACCGAGGTACAGTGGTGCCCCGCAAGACGAATGCCTCGCAAGACGGAAAACCCGCTAGACGAAAGGGTTTTCCGTTTTGGAGGTGCTTCGCAAAACGAATTTCCTATGTGCTTGCTTCGCAAGACGAAAATGTCTTGCGAGTTTCTGCGGGGTTTTTTCCCTTTCCCCCCCCTTTCTCCCAAGCCGCTAAACCGCTTATCAGCTGATCGGCTAAGCCGCTTAACAGCTGATCGCTAAGCCGCTTATCAGCTGATCGTTAAGCCGCTTATCAGCTGATCTTTAAGCCGCTTAACAGCTGATCGCTAAGCCCGCTGATCCGCTAAGCCCGCTAAGCCACTAATACTGTAGCGCTAATCCGCTAAACCGCTAAACCGCTAATGGGCTTGCTTCGCAAGACGAAAAAACCCGCAAGACGAAGAGACGGATTCTTTTCGTCTTGCGAGGCACCACTGTACCACTGTACTTAGGACAGGCCTGGATGTTATGTAACTGCATATGCAGTGCTATTTTCCTAGGGAAAAAAGGCACTGGAGTGGCCCGCTCCTCCCTCGCCTCCCTTCCCCTTCGCCCTGGTCCCCCTCGCACCCTGCAAGCTTTTTCGTGGCGGGCTGTCACTGCGCTCGAAGTGATCCATTTCCGATTGTGGTACCAGCGGGCTTCTCAACAGGAGGGATAGGCGGGCAGTGGACCACCGGGTCGGAGCCAGCCAGCTTCTGAGGGGGGCGGAAAGGGAGCAGGGAGCAAGCAGAAGTCGAAAAAAAATCAAGGTAAGAAAATGGGATGGAGGGGAGGGTAAGGGGGTGATTGAACCTAGAGTAAAACATCTCACAAGCACCTCTCGGCTAGAAACAGTGTTAGAAACTCAGATCTGTAAGCTAGGCGCCAAATGGCTTCTTAAACCAGGGTGACCATTTTGGGGCCAGTCAAAAGTTGCATTTTTCAGTACGACTTTTGGGTTCCTGAAATTCATTCTGATTGTACAGATAAATTGCTTGGGGTCCACATATAGCTTGCCTCTGCAAGACCCTTGAAGTTTAGACCTTTTCAGGATGAACCAAATGTCTGCTGTCCCTCATCGGAGGCACCAGAAAGGCCTCACAATTGCTTTGGCAGTGAGGCCAACCGTAATGCATCAGCTCGGGAAATTCTGTGTGATCTACTGTCGTGAAGTCCCATCTCTGTCCTATTTTTATAGAGTTGGAGGTGTTGCCGCGGCAACTGTCATGTCATCTCACTCCTGCTGTATTTGACATACAGATCCATCACCATCATGGGAGGAGGAGGGGGGACAAGTGGTGTTTTTTATTATTACTTCACAACCCCCACCCAGGAATATAATAAGACCAATTTCAGAAAAGCCAAATATAAATGGAAGGGTTTTTTTTAATATAAAAAACCCAGCCCTAAGTACATGCCACACGTCTCATCATCTGAAGGTTCCTGTCCCGTCCCACCCCCCGCCTGCGTTGCTGAGGGAACAGTGAAGTCAGCACTTCTAGGAAGATGCTGATTTATATATTCCCCATAATAATGTCATTTCCATGCACTGGTGGGAATTCTAAGAGGAATTGCTGGTTCAAGTTGTGGAAGAATAAAAAAGAAAAGCAAAGAAAGAAAGAAAAGAAAAGAAAGATCTAGAGAGAAATCGAGAGAAATGTGCTTGGTCTCTCTTCATATGCATTCATTCCACATTCGCCACACCCTATCGATACAGTATTTACACCCCCACACCCCCACAAAAGCAACAAGATCAATTCTGCCCAGGTCAGTTTTGCATGCAGGGCAGCTGTCTACCAGCTCCATCTGGTATGCAGGCTGAGACCCTACCTGCCCGCAGACTGTCTTGCCAGAGTGGTGCATGCTCTGGTTATCTCCCGCTTGGACTACTGCAACGCGCTCTACATGGGGCTACCTTGGAAGGTGACCCGGAAACTACAATTAATCCAGAACGCAGCAGCGAGACCGGTAACTGAGAGTGGCCGCCGAGACCATATAACACCGGTCCTGAAAGACCTACACTGGGTCCCAGTACAGTTCCGAGCACAGTTCAAAGTGCTGGTGTTGACCTTTAAAGCCCCATCGTTCAGCCCAGACACTGGGGTCCAGCTCCGAGGGCCTTCTTGTGGTTCCCTCCCTGCGAGAAGCAAGGTTACAGGGAACCAGGCAGAGGGCCTTCTGGGTAGTGGCGCTCGCCCTGTGAAACGCCCTCCCATCGGATGTCAAGGAGATAAAGAACTACACAACTTTCAGAAGACATCTGAAAGCAGCCTTGTATCAGGAAGTTTATAATGCTTGAAGTTTTACTATGTTTTTATATATGCTATAGGGACGCGGGTGGCGCTGTGGTCTAAACCACAGAGCCTAGGGCTTGCTGATCAGAAGGTTGGCGGTTCGAATCCCTGTGATGGGGTGAGCTCCCGTTGCTCAGTCCCTGCTCCTGCCAACCTAGCAGTTCAAAAGCATGTTAAAGTGCAAGTAGATAAATAGGTACTGCTCCGGCGGGAAGGTAAACGGCGTTTCCGTGCGCTGCTCTGGTTCGCCAGAAGTGGCTTAGTCATGCTGGCCACATGACCCAGATGCTGTACGCCGGCTCCCTCGGCCAATAAAGCAAGATGAGCGCCGCAACCCCAGAGTCATTCGCGACTGGACTTAACTGTCGGGGTCCCTTTAGCTTTACCTATATATGCTGTAAGCTGCCCAGAGTAACTGGGGAAACCCAGCCAAATGGGTGGGGTATTATTATTATTAATATTATTATTATTATTATTATTATTATTATCATCAACAACAACTCACAATACACAGGACACACACAAAAGCATGGATGCTTTAGCTGAGTTTTCTGCATTGCATGGTGTTGGACTAGATGACTCTTCGGGTCCACAATTCTATGAACTCTCCCAACGGGACTGTTATCCACACGTCTACACTGGTCACAAACGAAGCACTGAAGGGGGTGGGTGGGAGGTTTCGGGTGTTGAGACTATGTGTTGTTTCTTTCAGGGGAATGGTTTGGGAGCGACACAGGGAGAGGTTCCACCGAACGGTACACAAATGTTGTGTTTGCCTTTCACCCTTTTCTTCACTGTTTGTAAAAAGTGGAGTTTAGATTGCTGTCAGAAAAGCTTGTCCATTAGTAAAAGAGCTGATCTGGTAAAATGGAACTAATAGAGAATCAATACCTTTGAACTGAACTTTGACCCCTCTGATCAACCACCCTTCTCTTTTTGTTGTTAAGCAGCAAAAACAGGTTCATTTCAACAGTGAGGAAAAGTGGGCTTCTACAAGCTTAAAGATATTTTTTCACTACTAATAAAAAACTACTTAAGAGTCCAGAATTAAACTTCAGACTAAGAGACATTGCCTGTAGCTGGTTAGAAAGCCATCAACTCACACATTTTCTCAACAAGCCAAAAAAAAATCGCTTAAGCTACATGACACCAGAAGCCCCAAAAGGAAAAGGAATAATTTCCCAAACTCCTGGTGTTGTTGTTGTTTTTACCTTGCTACACACACCTCTTTGCCATTTTTCAAATGGAAACTCATTATTCACATTATTATTGGGTAGGTCAAGTATTGAATGCAACCGGATGGCTCTTTGAGACTCACCTGATTCAGAGAGCGCTTATGAAGGCCCCCACAAAAACCGAATTGCAGCACCAGAACGTAAAGTACTGAGTAAATGAACCTGTCCTATAATTACTTTGCCCGGGGAAGTAAATTGGACTCTGGAACGCCCATCTCCTCGTATTTGCTATTTAGCTTTGAACCACAACAAGTTGGGACTGATTCACACACACATGCGCACACACCTGCATCCCTTGGTATGTCTCATTTGATGACTAATCGCAGGATTGCCGTATTTTTCGCTCTATAAGACGCACCAGACCACAAGACGCACCTAGTTTTTGGAGGAGGAAAACAAGAAAAAAATATTCTGAATCTCAGAAGCCAGAACAGCAAGAGGGATCGCTGCGCAGTGAAAGCAGCAATCCCTCTTGCTGTTCTGGCTTCTGGGATAGCTGTGCAGCCTGCATCTGCTCCATAAGACGCACACACATTTCCCCTTACTTTTTAGGAGGGAAAAAGTGAGTCTTCTAGAGCAAAAAATACGGTACTTGCGGCTCAAACCCGCAAACTAGCTTCCTTAAAGGCTCGTCTACACATGCAAGGGAATGAAGTGATGGACCACTCAGTTGGAAGAATGGACGGCATCACTTCAGCCTGTATGTGGTGATGGGGGGGCCTTCAGTTTGGAGTGCCTGTCAACATGAAAAACAACTTGCAAATGAAAAGATGATATTATTATATTATTATTATTTTGTCCCACACCTTTGACCCAAGTATTCTAGTTTTCTATCTCCAGTGAGCTTTTAGCACATCTTTCTTTCTTTCTTTCTTTCTTTCTTTCTTTCTTTCTTTCTTTCTTTCTTTCTAAAAAAGGGTTCATCCATCACCCGTCATTGCGCAGCCAATAGGGAAACTCCACCTGCCGCATTCTGATCTGGGATGCCTGTAGGGCTGGGCGATATCTGCTTCTCAACATCGCAGTCTATCGCCAGCTAAACGTCACAATATACCAACACATCACAATGTCTGAAATAAGGATGGAGCTGGTTTTTTCAACTTTGTGATACATCGCCAGCTAAACATTGTGCTATGCTGATATAACTTCTTCTTCTTCTTTGGTGATCACTCGTAGCCAAGTAAGATTGTCTTCCATAAACACAGTTTTAACAGTGAGTCCGTAAGTGACTGTGGAGGCCAATTCTGGATCCACATGTCCTTCCACAGTGGGGACATAGGTTTCTGGGCGGGAGGTGATCACGGTGAGGGTTGACCAAGTGTGCCTTCCTCTTAGCATGTTTCTCCCTTTCGTCCTGAGTTCAAGCATCTTCAAAGCCCATGACATCTTTGCAAAAGGCTGTTCTCCAAATGGAGCACTCGCAGGCCAGTGTTTCCCAGTTGTCGGTGTTTATACTACATTTTTTAAACACTTGTCTTGAGAGAGTCTTTAAACCTCTTTTGTCGATCACCAGCATTATGCTTTCCATTTTTAAGTTTGGAATAGAGTAGTTGCTTTGGAAGACAATAATCAGGCATCCGCACAACATGACCAGTCCAACAAAGTTGATGTTGAATCATTGCTTCGACACTGGTGATCTTTGCTTCTTCCAGTACACTGGCATTAGTCTGCCTGTCTTCCCAAGTGATGTGTAAAAATTTTCAGAGACACCGTTGATGGAATCTTCCAAGGAGTTGGAGATGGCATTTATAAGTGTTACATGTTTCACAAGCATACAGTGATATATCACAATGCTATATCACAATATCTGAAAAAAGGATGGAGCTGGTTTTCAACTTTGTGATTCATCGCCAGCTAAACATACTGAGAAAGATAGATAGATAGATGATAGATAGATAGATAGATAGATAGATTGATAGATAAATAAATAAATAAATAAATAAATAAATAAATGATAGATGATAGATAGATAGATGATAGATAGATAGAGAGATAGATAGATAGATAGATAGATAGATAGATAGGGGACTTCCGGAAAATGGCGGAATTCCCTTCGGACTGAAGGGAACCCGCTGCACGGAGGCTTGGGTCCTGCCGCTACGGCGCAGCGGGGACCCTTAAAAACCACAGGCGGAAGAAGCCTGTGGACGTGGGACTCTGCGGTCACCATGAGGGCTCTCTCCACTTGTACTGGAGCCCGGTATCGGGCTCCGGAATGGGTGGTGCGTTCTGCTGCGAGTCTACTGCTACCTCCGTGCAGCAAAGCCGCACTGCCGTTATCGGAGAGCGCTGCCTTTTCCTGGACAATTTGGCATCTAAAATATCTATCCGTGAGTACCTGATCTTGGAAGAGTTGAACCACTTTTAAGACTGGTGAATAAACAAATAATATTGGACTTGAAATTGAACTTAATTGGGACTCGGAACGGGAAGGTCTAAACAGGAAGTCGCCTTCCGTTCTTTTGTTACGTGAAGAAAGCAAAGACAAAATATACTAAAGCTTGAAAATTAAATTCTAAGAGAACTAGAATTCAACATCTAAGATTTCTGAACCCCCCCTTTGACTGCAGGAGAAGAAGGGGTTGTATTTGGACTTTTCAATCCTGCGGAAGTGAGTTTAAAATAAAGCAATTTTCCACCGCCCTGAACCAGGAGCGGGCTGTCAGAATTGACGTTCTGAAGTTTATCCAGCTCGACAGTTAGTTAAAAGAAGGGTAACATTTTGATTCTACTGTTGCCTCTTGAATTTGGAAGGGGAATTTTGGAGAAAGTGTTTCTGGAAAAGAAAGATTGTTGCTGTTGCTTTTATTCCTTTTAAAAAAAAAATTTCCATCTAGTGGAATTTAGTGAAATTGCAACGCAGAGAGATTAAAAGAGAAGGACTATTGGACTATTGTCGTGGGAAAGAATTTTCTTCGACCTTGAAGGACAATGCTAGTACAAAGGCTTGAACAATTGTTCCTGGAAGGTTTTTCAAAACTAAGTGCCCAGCTGGACCAGATGCGTCAGGAGACGACCTTGATGATGGAAGTTACCAGAGCACAGCAGCAAACAAATGAAATCCAGTTAAAGGCTATACAAGCATATGAACCTGCTGTAGTGAGGGAGGCTTCAGAGATGGAGGGACCTTTGGACGGGCAAGATCAGCCTTTGAACTTGATAAATGAACTTGGGACAAACCAGATTCGGAAAGATGAAATGTGGTCAGATTTGGAAATGGGGGGGATGGATCGACCCCCCTCCATATGGTTATTTGGACCTTCTGAGTCTAGTGATGGGCTATCAGAGGATTGGAGTAGCCGAAGTCTCCAAGCTTTGTGGAAATTTGAAGTGGTATTATTTGCTGTCTGGCTTGGGCAATGGGTTTGGGATGGACTTGCTGCAAAGGGTCAAAAGCATTTTCTTGCTGGAGCATCCACGACTGGAAGGGAATCATCAACAAGAGTGGCGAAAGGGGCAAGAAAGAGACTTGAGGGCCTCGGACACGAGACAACCAGGTTAAGGAGCCGGATTATCGAGGTTAAAAGGACTGACAATCCCGGGTCCAGGGGAGGGAGGTTGGAAGCTGAATTTGACTTATTATTTTTTCCTTTTTATTTTTAATATTGGGAATGCTTACAAATGTTTGAAGGATGTTGAATGAAATTACATGGCTTAAGTAAGGATTGGTAAATGATTCGTAAAAAGGTAATGATGTAAGAATTTGGTAAATATTGAATATAAGCTATGAGTCTTAAAGTTTTTATATGACAAGAGGGAAAATAGAATAAGGAAACGTAATGACAGATTGTTATGAAAAAACAGAAAGGATTTGCTGTAAAAATTAAAAATTAAGAAACAAGAGAGGGGAGGAGGAGGAAGTCTAGAAAGGAAGTCAATAGAGATTGTAAAGGACTTTATATTTTTGTTCTTCTGTTTTTCTTTTTTTTTTTTTTCTCTCTTTCTTTGCGGCTGGGTTTTCTTTTCTTTTTTGTTTATGTACTATTTTTGTTTTTTGTATCCTCAAATTTTTTTTGGAAATTTTTGTTGTTATTCTTTGAAAACTTAATAAATATCAATTATAAAAAAAAATAGATAGATAGATAGATAGATAGATAGATGATAGATAATAGATGATAGATAGATAGATAGATAGATAGATAGATGATAGATAGATAGAGCTATGTAGAGGCCATCAGCCAGCTTCACGGTTTTTCCCATATTGTGCATTTTGCATCACACACACACCCTAATACATCGCGATTTGCAGTAGGTCAGAAATTTTTTAACCAATATCTTGATATGGACTTCAAACTGGTTTTGGATTATATATCACCCAGCCCTAACAAACATCATGATTTGCAATATATTGTTAGGTCAAAAACTATGAAATCACGATATGAACTTCAAACCGGTTTTTGGAAGATATATTGATGCCTCACCTAGCCCTAGATGACTGTTTCTCACAAGTATACCATGATGCTGCGTCGGTCATAAAAAATTGAATAAGCATGTGTGTGTGTGAACTCTTCCCCAGTTCGGCTCTGAATAAACACAAGCAGTGCCATTTGTTGATTCATCTAAAGTAGGGTGGGGGGAGGTGGGGGGAGAGTGTTCATTGTGATTGCTACGTTTACAGTCCCCACACCCACAGATTATTTTTCTTCCCCAAACTATGATTAATACCTAGAAACCCAAGGTTTCTTCAGGGATTTCAAGGCAATACACTGCTTTGGCTAATGACGATCTCAGAGTCAAGCTTATCTCAAGGCATGGTTCAAGTTTGCAACAAGTTTAGCACGTCCACCGCCTGTGACAAAATATATTTATATCTCTTTCCTTTGAACTGCTTCCAGCCCCAATCCTAAAAGGAGGGGACCCTGACATCTGAGACCCTCCGATCCCACTTTCAAGTGAATGGGCCTCTGGCGAAGGCCGGACGCCGCAGTTTCACATCTCAAAGAAGACACTGTGTCACAGACATGCGCTCTGTTCAATTTATTCAAGCATGAACCGGGCTTCCAAAAGTTCTGATTATTACAAATCACGATAGCCTTGGCAGGAAGAGAGGGAGGCGGAAACAGTGATCCCCAATCCCTTGCAACCATCTTCGCACCAACGCTTCTAAATTCTCTGAACAGTTCTTCCGTTGAACAAAACAACAAAACAAAATGTGGGATCCATCCTTTTCTGCAGCCAAAGTCAAGCTGTCATTCTGGAGCCAAGCAGAACGTCCCCTACGGGCCGATTCCAAGGACCGCGAAACAATCGTTTTCAGACGCAGGTGCAAATCTTATGTGAACTCTGCTGAACTTGAAACAGACACACAGCCTGTGGCTGTTAGCCTTAAAAGAAAAAGAAAAGGGGCTTGCACAGGAATGGCTTTGAAAAAGATGAGGCTATCACAAGGAGGGATGTGAGCTCGACTAGATACAGTCCTAGGGTGAGCTCCAGCTTAAAGAATTAGAAGTTTCAACTGCTCACCTGGCGCATTTTGCATTGCTACTTGGGGCTGAGCCTGATCTGTGTGCATGAGACCAAGCATGACACTTTACTGCTCAGCATCAGGAAAAATCTCTTGGTTTTGCTCCGTATTGTTCCTGCCTCCTTGGTTCCTGAGAATCACAGGATTTAACAACAACAACAACAATTTATTTATACCCCCGCCCATCTGGCTGGGTTTCCCCAACCACTCTGGGCAGCTCCCAACAGAATATTAAAAACACAATAAAACATCAAACATTAAAAACTTCCCTAAGCAGGGCTGCTTTCAGATGTTCTCTAAAAGTAATATAGCTGTTTATTTCCTTGACATCTGATGGGAGGGTGTTCCACAGGGCGGGTGCCACCACCGAGAAGGCCTTCTGCCTGGTTCCCTCACTTCTTGCAGGGGGGGAATCGCCAGAAGGCCCTCAGAGCTGGACCTCAGTGTCTGGGTTGAACGATGGGGGTGGAGACGCTCCTTCAGGTATACAGGACCGAGGCCGTTTAGGGAAGGCAAATGACAACAGCCCTGTTCTGGAGCAGGACCTCACATCATGCTGTCGTGACTCAAAGTGCCAACTCTTGTCCAATGCTTTCCATGCTGGCCTGCCTTTCGAGTGAGGGAGTTCCTCCCAAACACTGCATAGATTCATAGGTAACCATAGTAAGAGAAGGTCAACTAGTCCAGCCCTCGTTCAATGCAAGAACTGTTTGGCCTCTGAACTCTCTCTGCTTCTCACTCAAACACATGGAAGCTGGGTGGTGGAAAAGTCCCTGTCTCTAGCGTTCACACATTCAATGGGGATGCCCAGCTGCATTCGGTTGCTTTTAAAAAAAAGATCAGACAAATTCACAAAGGAGTTGAGGTTACGTCAGTGGCTGTTAGCCATGATAGCTAAAGGAGGGTTTTTCAAATTTGGGTCTCGGGCTGTTTTTGGACTACAAATCCCATCACCCATGACCACTGGTCCTGCTAGTTTGGGATGATGGGAGTTGTAGTCCAACAACAGCCGGAGACCCAAGTTTGGGAAACACTGAGCTAAAGGGTTGCTAAATGGGACATTTTCAGCAGGATGTCTGCAAAGGGGCCCTGGCTCAATGCCACAGTTTCCCCTCCTGATATATTTTCCTTTAATTAAAAACTAGCAAACAATTCCCCCTTAAAACCGTATCTAAGCAGAACACATGTATGGAAGTGAGAGCTGGACCATAAAGAAGGCTGATCGCCGAAGAATTGATGCTTTTGAATTATGGTGCTGGAGGAGACTCTTGAGAGTCCCATGGACTGCAAGAAGCTCAAACCTCTCCATTCTGAAGGAAATCAGCCCTGAGTGCTCACTGGAAGGGCAGATCCTGAAGCTGAGGCTCCAATACTTTGGCCACCTCATGAGAAGAGAAGACTCCCTGGAAAAGACCCTGATGTTGGGAAAGATGGAGGGCACAAGGAGAAGGGGACAACAGAGGACGAGATGGTTGGACAGTGTTCTCGAAGCTACCTACATGAGTTGGACCAAACTGAAGGCAGTGGAAGACAGGAGTGACTGGCGTGCTCTGGTCCATGGGGTCACGAAGAGTCGGACACGACTAAACGACTAAACAACAACAACAAAGTCCACTGAATGTTGCACAGGGGCTGTGGATAGGACTTCCATGGGGCATGAAAAGTCGGACATGACTAAACGACTAAACAACAACAAGCAGAACACAGCCAGAGTCTTCCAGAGAATTCAGGGCCTTTTATCATCATCATCATCATCATCATCATCTTTGTAGATAGCTCTCTTCTTGCCTCTCTCCAAATGAAATAAAACAGGAGGAGAAGGAAGAAGGAAGGGGTTAAACTTTTGTGTGTGTGTGTTTGAAGAGAGAATTAATCTTTGGGAGAAGCACCATTCCTCTTTCTGCTCAGCTGGTTAATTGCTTAACAGGAACCTGTCTGATTAGTTTTAGCGCTAAAAAGAATCATCTGAGGACATTGAGGAGGAAGGGCTGTGGTTGCGAGATGAACTCTGTTGAACCATGAGGACCAGAGGCTTGCTTTAAAAAACAAACAAAAGAAAGCTGAAACTAACAGGTACACAGCAGAGAGCATTTCTTGCAAGATTTTCAAAGGCAGGCAAAGTAGTAAAACTAGAGAGTCATTTAATAGGATGAGTTAGGCAGCACACGGTGTGTGGTAAGTCTCCTCTGTAATATCTATATTTCTGGCCAACTCCCTGGCTCAAACAGCTGGGTGACAATGCTATTAAACAACTAAATGAAGTCATGTCAAGGAAATAAACAACTATCTGACTTTCAGAAGACATCTGAAGGCACCTCTGTTTCAGGAAGTTTTTAATGTTTGATGTTTTATCGTGTTTTTAACATTCTGTTGGGAGCCGCCCAGAGTGGCTGGGGAAACCCAGCCAGATGGGCGGGGTATAAATAGCAAATTATCATTATAATAAATTATTATTATTATTATTATTATTATGTGTTAAGTGTGCACACTTAAGGAACATGTCCATTTTGCCGAAAAGAGTGAAGCTGGGTTGACAATGCTGCTATACTGTAAGATGCAGAACAAAAACAGTATAACGTCAACAAAGTCTCTTTAAATATATAGCTTTTTTCTATTTAAAATTTGCCGAGAGCCCCGAATTCTTAAAAAGTGTCCCTGCTGTCACAGGAAGCCACCTCAATTGTGGCAGCAAGCAAACGTATTCAATGTGCTGGCTATTTTCACAGATGTTGTCGAGTGGTGTGTTTGACCTACCAAGATGGACATGGAAAGTGGGAAGGAGAAGGGAGGTCTTATTTGGGACTACAAAATGGGTGTGTACACACACACACACACACACACACATGCACACTCATTTGTGTGGGTGGTTATCAAGCACCTAGCAGGTTACATTACATGGTGGGCACAGTGTTCAGCACAAAGGGCTGCAATTTGCGTAAACCTGAGTGAACAAGCTCCAATAAACGTGGCGAAACTTACTGCCAAAGAAACCTGCATAGAGTTGTGCTGCCTGGGCATTTTTATACAATGGTACCTTGGTTCTCAAACTTAATCCGTTCCGGAAGTCCGTTCCAAAACCAAAGCGTTCCAAAACCAAGGCGCGCTTTCCCATAGAAAGTAATGCAAAATGGATTCATCCGTTCCAGACTTTTAAAAACAACCCCTAAAGCAGCAATTTAACATCAATTTTACCGTCTAACGAGACCATTGATCCATGAAATGAAAGCAGTAAACAATGTACTGCAGTCACACAATCAATCAGTAGCTGAACTGGGTTCCACACAGCCACAAAAACAAAACAAAAAAGGCGCAAAAACAAAAACACAACATAAATAGCAACAATAGACAGACCTTAGAGTAACACTCAAAATGGGAATATGGCACTCAAAACGGAAATGTAACACTCAAAACAGAGCATGTTCAGCTTCCAAAAAATGCTCGCAAACCGGAATACTTACTTCCGGGTTTGCAGCGTTTGGGTTCCAAGTTCTCTGAGTACCAAGGCGTTTGAGAACCAAGGTACCACTGTATATGGATCTTTGGCTAACAGATCGTTATCCTCCTGGTTTAAACCATGGATTTTTTTTCTTAACTAACAAAAATTGAGGGGGGGACGGGACATAATTAACATGTTATGTTCAGCTCTCCCCTCCCCCGATTCATGGAGATCCTTCTGCGTGCTTGCAACTCGCAGATCTCAGCCACAGTGAAAATTCAGCAGGTGACAGTTGCTGTAGATCCTGCATTGTGTTGCCCAGGCAAATGGAACAACCTTCATGGGTTAAAACAAGGGTGGAGGGAAACAAGCAAGCAACTTGAAAGGATCATGTGATCCAGCTCTAACACTTCTGGCATTGAAATATGCTATTTCTGAATAATCAGGCACATAAGGTGACATTAAGCCTAGGTGAGATAAACAGAAAGGTACGTAGAAGGAGGAGAAAATAGAAAGCCCAGTTTTAAAACTTCGAAGTCAGCTGGAGAGATTTAGCCTTAACCCATTTTTTGCAGGGGACGACGACGGGCTTTGGATAGGCCACATTCAAGGTTTTGAAAGAAATTTAAACCTACATTTGAGAGAGAGAGAGAGCATATAATTCAGGGCAAATAGAGAGAACAATTATATTGGGTTTCCCAAACTTAGTTCTCCAGCTGTTTTTGGACTACTATTCCCATCGTCCCTGACCACTGGTCCTGCTAGCTAGGAATGATGGGAGTTGTAGTCCAAAAACAGCTGGAGACCCATGTTTGGGAAACCCAATTTTCCTCTATTTGCCATGTACAGAAGTGTGTGCCATCGATTATGTAGCCAAAACAGCACCCCACACATACTAGATGAACCCTAAGGTTTGCAGACGTGCAAAACAATTTAAAAATATCATTTGGGGGTGAAAAACTCCCCTTAGCCCAATCAAAACATTCACCTTAAAACACTAGTGAGAGTTTGCATTGCAGAAACTTCCTCTTCCACCTCCCATCTCAAAGTTTAGGTCTTTCAGGGTGCTAAAATCAAATCTGTTACTTGGTTTAAGTTATGGGCTATAGTCTGATTGAACGCAAGCAACTAGACAGAGCAAAGTAGGTGCTCAAAAGCCAACCGGAAAGGAGTTTGCAGAAGATAAAATACTTTCTCTGACCACATACTGCTATTTTCCCTACGCAGTGACTGGTCTGCCTATGAGCAATTTCGTTCCACTTAGCCTCAGGGCAAAAACAACCATTTCAAAAACCAGGAACATTAAAACACGCAGGAAGGGGAAGAGAGATGTGCTTGATTTGCTATTTTGGATGCCCAACCAAAGCTGCTTCCTTTCCTATTTAAACTTTGATTTTAGGTTTTTGATCTGAGAGAGGGTAACAACAATATCATCAGAAGCTAAGCCAGAAAAACACATTAAACTAACAAACAAATCTTAGAATAACCTTCCCCAACCTGGTGCTCCCCAGATGTTTGTAGTGACCTCCCACCATCACATGCTGGCCGGGGTGATGAGAATTATCATAGAATTGTAGAGTTGGAAGGGACCCAAGGGTCATCTAGTCCAACCCCCTGCAATGCAGGAATCTCTGCTAAAGCATCCATGACAGATGACCATCCAACTTCTGCTTAAAAATCTCCAAGGAAGGAGAGCCCACAACCTCCAGAGGGAGAGCGTTTCACCGACGAACAGCTCTTAGTGTCAGAAAGTTTTCCCTGATGTTTAGTGGGATTCTCTCTTCTTGGAGCTTGAAGCCACTGGTTCGAGTCCTACCTTCCAGAGCAGGAGAAAACAAGGTCCTAAACATCTGAAGGAGAAAGGTTGGAGGTGGCTGCCTTAGCAATTGCTTGGGGTTCCAACAGGTTAAGGCTTTCAGTCATCCCAGCGAGAAATCTCAATGCTACGGTTTGCCACGCAAGCCCCAAACGCATGTGTTTAAACTACCGTATTTTTCGCCCTATAGGACGCACCGTCCCATAAGGCGCACCTAGTTTTTTTGGGGGGGAAATAAAGGGGAAAAAATTATTTTCCCCCCCAGGCGCGGGGCTGGGGCAGGGGAGGCATGAGCTTCCCCCGACCCCAGCCCCCAAACAGGCAGCTCTCTGCAAGCCGTGGGAGCCCAGCGCTGGCTCCCGCTGCTTGCGGAGAGGTCCGCGAAGCCTGGAGAGCGAGAGGGGTCGGTGCGCACCAACCCCACTCGCTCTCCAGGCTTCAGCGAAAGCCTGCATTCGCCCCATAGGACGCACACATATTTCCCCTTCATTTTTGGAGGGGAAAAAGTGCGTCCTATAGGGCGAAAAATACGGTAGATCTATGTGCAGCAGCAGAAAATACTTTTTATGTACGCGACGACAGCCACACAGATGCTATTAGCCCAGAGATGGAAAGAAGATAAAGTCCCTACCAGAGAAGAATGGCAAATTAAACTGTTGGACTATGCCAAAATGGCAAAACTGACCGGAAAGCTCAGGAACCAAGAAGACCAAAAATGGGGAAAATTTATCATTTATCTTGGCGACCACTGTAAGCAGATGAACACTAGCAAGATTGCAGTAACACTCGTAATGTAGCAAGTACCATGGAGATAATGGATTTATATAAGATATGGACTATTGGAGAAGATGCAGTAGAAAAGGTTTCATAACAGGACCCACGGAAAGGAAGGTGGGAAGTCCAGAGGTTCGAGGAATCTTCAAATGTGGATGTATATGGTTGTATTGTTAAAATCAAATAAAATTTATTTAAAATTTATTTAAAATAAACTAGATCTATGTACAAATGGACTCTGGAAATCTTCTACCCTATTTGTGGGCAGAGAAATTGGAAGTGTGTGGGGAGGTGATATTTGCCAAGGGAAGAAAAGTATCTCCATCAGGGATGAGGCTCACCATTATCAACACAGCTTCTTCTTTGTGGTCTCAAACCAAAAGTGTAGAAAAGTGCATATATTCAGTGCTTTTCCCCCCAGCTGGAGCACAGCGGAGCGCAGTTCTGGCACCTCTCTGGTGGGCACCATTACGGGCCGGTGCTCCCCCTGCCCATGTCTTGCTTTTATGCGTGGGTGGCGCTGTGGTATAAACCACTAAGCCTCTTGGGCTGGCTGATCGGAAGGTCGGTGGTTCAAATCCCTGTGATGGAGTGAGCTCCCATTGCTCTGTCCCAGCTCCTGCCAACCTAGCAGTTCGAAAGCACGCCAGTACAAGTAGATAAATAGGTACTGCTGTGGTGGGAAGGTAAATGGCGTTTCCATGCGCTCTGGTTTCCGTCACGGTGCTCCATTGTGCCAGAAGTGGTTTAGTCATGCTGACTACATGACTCGGAAAGCTGTCTGTGGACAAACGCCGGCTCCCTTGGCCTGAAAGCAAGATGAGCGCTGCAACCCCATAGTCACCTTTACTCCCCAAAAACAAACCTTTCAAGTCAAAATGAAAGCTGGTGAGTGTGTGCGAATCTACACATTTTCCAGATCTATGATGCCTCCTAGTTCCGAGCCGCTCCTAGCCACGATTGGTCAAGCTACAGGGCAGGGACAATTCGTATTTCCTTTTCTTCGATCCATCTCCGAAGTAGCAGTGGCAGGCCTTAAGCTTTCTAGCCGGGCTTCTAATGTTGCACACATGTGTGTTTGGGCAAGGCCCTGGCCATGTGCCTGAATCGACTAGAATGCGGGAGGTGGGGATGCATTTATTGGACCTGCACCAGAACCAGGGACGACCCCCAAACCAGCTAGGGAGACAGCTTGCGATTGTTTTTAGCACCTCCACGGGAGTTGGACGCTGCTGATGTCAAACTGGCATCTGTTCACAGCTGCCTCGAGTCGCCAGGCGACTCTCTGTAACAACTTCATGGTGAGTTCCAGCGCCTGTTTTTCTTGAAAAAAAAGGACTGCATATACAAACCATGGGTAGGCAAACTAAGGCCCGGGGGCCGGATCTGGCCCAATCGTCTTCTAAATCCAGCCCGTGGATGGTCCGAGAATCAGCGTGTTTTTACATGAGTAGAATGTGGCCTTTTATTTAAAACGCATCTCTGGGTTATTTGTGGGGCATAGGAATTCATTCATTCCCCCCCCCCCCAATATAGTCCGGCCCTCCACAAGGTCTGAGGACAGTGGACCGGACCCCTGCTGAAAAAGTTTGCTGACCCCTGTACTAAACGAAAGTGCTCATCAATGTACCTATTGGTGAACACAGCACCTCCAATATTGAAAACTCCCTGCAAATTAAAAACAACAACAGCATAGCTGATAAAATGCTGAGCTAGAACCTCTTGCCCTGATGTGCTAGGTTTCTAGATGCAGGGAGTGGGTGGTTTGTTTTGCTTATAAGGGAGCTTCCACCAATGGAAACCTCCACCTAGCGTTCAAAATAGTATAGCCCATCCATTCTGCTGCACCTCCGGCCTCTAGGCGGTATAGTGTGTTCTCCTTCACGGAGAGCACGTGTTGCGGTGGGGGCTGCCAGGACACTCCAAAGTTGGGGGCGGGCTAATTGACCGTTGGCCACTGATGTGATTGGGGCTTCCCTTGTTGTTGGGAAGAAGTTAATGTTGCCATTTGTTGACTGACAGCCAGAAATGCTAAAACGCCTTGCACGAGGCTAGGACTTCCTCTTTTCGCCCATGCATCGGATTGCCCGTCCCTCCCTCCCTAGAATAGGGTTGTTCGCTTTGACCTTGCTATGCCTGTCATGGGGTCGTCTGCTTTGGAGCAGGGGCCCGTTAGGAATTTTGTCCATCTGGCTGATTGGCTGGGGCCTTTTGGTTTTTGCCTACTGCGTAGCAAATCGTCACAACTTGTAAGGTTCGCGGTTAGGCATTGGTTTATGGTTTGGTTGGTTGAGGGGCATGGATTGGCTGTGCCTGCTCCTCTAATGTTGCAAGGGATTCCGTTAAAGGAATTGGGGGCTAACTATTGCTTGTCCACTCTGTCAAGGGGGCTTGGGCCATATCAATGAGCTCCTGGTTGCATTTGGGGAGGGCTGAGGGCAGGTTCCCTGCTCCGACGCTACCCCCAAGTGTATTCCCCTATTCTGACTTTCGCATCGTGCGGAATGTCAGTCTGTCCCCCTTGGTGGGGGCAGATAGTCGCAACCAATGCCTAAGCAACCACTCACATGTTTGTATTTTAATAAAGTTGTGGCCAAAATTATGCCAAAAATCTTAAACAAAAATTATGTGTGAGTTATTGGGGTGGCCCTGGGGACCTCGAGATGCAACAATGGGGGTTATCCCGTTTCCCCCGTCACACCAACCCTGCCGGTTAGGGAGAGAGACAAACAGAAGCCGGCCCAGAGGTCTCTCTGTGTTCCCCGCAGCCCATGGTCTCCCTGTTTAGGTGCATGTCAGCCCTGCATGTGCTTTCCCGAAAGGGGTCCGAGAAAGAAAGAAAGAGAAGGAGAAGGAAGATGAACTGTACTCGATTACTATCCAAACAAACCCTGGCATGGATGTCCTGCCAAATAGCAAATGTGTGACTGCGTGCTCCAAGCTGGAAGGAAAGCTTGGCTGGCAGCCCAGGGCTTCACTGTATTTTGCTCAGCCAGCCCCAGTCTGGCAGAACACAGTGAGCACACTCTGGGACACGTGACGGAAGGGTAGCTCAGGCCAAGCTGATTTCCTTGTGGCGGTTAAATGTAATCTTCGCGCTGCACAGACACCGGCAGCTCCGGGGAAATGTGAGAAAGCAAGAGGAGGAGAGGAGGAGGAGATGGAGGAGAACACAAGACACAGACAAGTACTCTGAGAAAGTGCCTGTACCTTGAAAGAGGTGTATAATAATAATAATAATATGATCTTGACAACCCACTTACAATATTCAGCCGTCATCTGGAAAGACCTAAAGCCTGCTGAATTCTAGCTGGCTTTAAATGGATCTAGACAGCCAGAGTGCAGGATTCTCCCCAACGCCTGTCATCCCCCCCCCCCCCCCATTCTCAAGTTGCTTTTCCAGGTTTAGCTTGTACAGTGGTACCTCGGGTTAAGAACTTAATTCGTTCTGGAGGTCCGTTCTTCACCTGAAACTGTTCTTAACCTGAAGCACCACTTTAGCTAATGGGGGCCTCCTGCTGCCGCTGCTACCGCGCCGCCGAAGCACGATTTCTGTTCTCATCCTGAAGCAAACTTCTTAATCCGAGGTACTATTTCTGGGTTAGCGGAGTCTGTAACCTGAAGCGTATGTAACCTGAAGTGTCTGTAACCTGAGGTACCACTGTAAGGGTAAAGGGTAAAGGGACCCCTGACCATTAGGTCCAGTCGTGGCCGACTCTGGGGTTGCGGCGCTCATCTCGCTTTATTGGCCGAGGGAGCCGGCGTACAGCTTCTGGGTCATGTGGCCAGCATGACTAAGCCGCTTCTGGTGAACCAGAGCAGCGCACGGAAATGCCTTTACCTTCCCGCTGGAGCGGTACCTATTTATCTACTTGCACTTTGACGTGCTTTTGAACTGCTAGGTTGGCAGGAGCAGGGACCGAGCAACGGGAGCTCACCCCGTCGCGGGGATTCGAACCGCCGACCGTCTGATCAGGAAGTCCTAGGCTCTGTGGTTTAACCCACAGCGCCATCCGTGTACCTGAAGATAACTCAGAAGTGGAGGTGTGCAGCGCCAACAAGCCCTTCTAGAAGGAAATATCCTGCTAGGACTTCGCTGTGTGTTTTCCTTTTCAAACAGCGGCAAAGTAATAGAAATAATGATGGAACCACTGCTAGCCTAAAAACCATGTTATTTATCTTATCACCGTTTCTTATTGACAATTTGCGTTTGTGCAAACGACTGAGGTGCTTGTAGAAGCAAGCTCAGGCCCAGTCCTTAGGAAAGAGAAGGAAAGCAAGGTCTGTGGTTGATGCAATGTTTCTTTCAGCCCCGGGATGGACACCATGAATGGCATCTCGGGCGTGGGAGACTCAGGTGCGAGAGACTATTTAGCCGTATCGCTCTGGGTGAGTCAATACTTCTCAGCCCTGCCCCCACCTCACAGGGGTGTTGTGAGACTAAATGCAGTAATAATATTTGCGCAGCAACTTACGCATCGACTCACGCTGCGTTAGAATAGCATTCACTGGGTGGCCTTACTGAACTTGAACCCAAGTCAAGTGGCAGCAAATCAGATAAAGGTTACAGCCACGGTGATCCATGCAGTGGTCACCTCCAGGTTTGATTATTGTAACTCGCTCTATGAGGGGCTGACCCAGAAACTCCAGCGGGTCCAGAATGCCGCTGCGAGGTTCCTTACGGGATCCTTGCCATGGGATAACATTCATCCAGTGCTTTATCAGCTGCACTGGCTCCCGGTGGAGTACAGGATCAGGTTTAAAGTGCTGATTTTGACCTTTAAAGCCCTATGCGGCCTAGGACCCTCGTACCTACGGGACTGCCTCTCCTGGTATGCCCCGCAGAGGATCTTAAGGTCCACAAATAACAACACTTTGGAGGTCCCAAGCCACAAGGGGGTTAGATTGGTCTCAACTAGGGCCAGGGCCTTTTAAGCATTGGCCCCAACCTGGTGGAACACTCTTGTCACAAGAGACCAGGGCCCTGCGGGATTTGACATCTTTCCGCAGGGCCTGCAAGATGGAGCTGTTCCACCTGGTCTTCAGCTTAGAATCACTCTGACCCCTTATATGGGATTTGGTATATAAATTGTCCCTTGGCTTTTTTGCTGGCCCATGTGGGACCAGCATGGATAGCTGGCTTGGGTAAATATCTGATGTTTCCTCCCTTTATGGTCTTGATTTATGGGCTACTACTAAAATGAGGCCGCATTTTAAGCTGTATTTCGAGCCGTATTTTAATTAACTGATTGTTTGTTGTTGGTTTTTTCCCCCTATTACGTTTTATTGTACAGTGGTACCTTGGGTTACATACGCTTCAGGTTACAGATGCTTCAAGTTACAGACTCCACTAACCCAGAAATATTACCTTGGGTTAAGAATTTTGCTTCAGGATGAGAACAGATGGGTGAGGCCCCATTAGCTAAAGTGGTGCTTCAGGTTAAAAATGGTTTCAGGTTAAGAACAGACCTTCAGACTTAACCCGAGGTACCACTGTAATTTATATTTGGTGTTAGCCTCCCTGAGCCAGACCCTGGCCGGGGAGGGCGGGGTGTAAATAAAAATTTATTATTATTATTATTATTATTATTATTATTATTATTATTACGCAAGATGCTGGCTGTTTCCTAACTTAAGTGTGTTGCTATAATGTCCATGTGGGTGATCCATCGCAAACTAAGCAACCGTGTTTTGAGCCACTTTCTGTTTTCTTTTCTTTTCTTATAAAGCAGTATAGAAAAGAAAATCCTCATCACCAGAGCCTTTTCCCTGCTAGGAAGTGGGGTGGCAGAATGGCCCCACGCCTCCACTGCAGTTTGCCAGAATTACCAAGACAACAATCTTCACCATCAAGCACAAAGTTTCCTGGACTTCAGCATGGATACAATCAAAAAAATCACATGATGGCATCTCAGAAACATTCACCTATAAAAGTGGCTCGGTCTTCCCTACGTAATTAAGCCTCAGGGTGGGGGTGTTTTCATTTCGCTCCGTGTCAAAACCTTGCCTTGAGATCCTACAGGGACAAAAATCCCAAGGCGGTATTCCATTACAGTTCTGCAGTAAAATAAAAATTCCCGGCATGGTGTACTCAGCGCTGCGTTGCTTTTGGTAAGTTTTTGGGAAAGCATAGCTGCCGCTGTAAGCAAAAGCAACCACCGTTTTTGAGATCATTTCTTTCCATACTTTACCATAAAAGCAAATTCTTCAGGCCCAGCGTTCAGCTGTGCGTGGAAATGTTTAATGTGAGCAGTTCCCCGGGGCAAACTTGCTGCTCCTGACAACTGTCCCTGAAATCATCGACGTCTCACTAGGGAATTTTGCAGCAGGTGTTCGGAACTGGGAGCCTCAAACTGGGAAACTGGTACCAACCAGCTCCTTGCTCGCTAGACCCCCCATGGGTGAGGGGACCCAATGGCTCACCAAGCCAACCAGTAAAATCCTCTGGGCAGCATCTTTCCAGCCAGGAAATCATGTGGTAAAGAGGAACCATTTGCATACTGAAGCCACAGGATCTTATCTTGCACCTCAGCCTGAGCAACAAGATGAGATTAAGGCCCGCCCCCTTGATACCCCAGCACTGGACACCAAAGCTGGAATCTGAATGGCTGATCCCTCTGCCACTCTGGGATCAGATATTATTATTAATAAAATGGCAGGAAGCTGGAGCCTTGAAAGAGCTGGCCAGCCCTGCTGGTTGCTTTGCAGTGTGCACTGGCAAGCAACCTGATAACAATAACAATAAAAAAATGTATTATTATTAGTAGTAGTATTATTTCTACCCTGCCCATCTGGCTGGGTTTCCCCAGCCACTCTGGGCAGCTTCCAACAGAACATTAAAAACAGAATAAAACTTCAAGCATTAAAAACTTCCCTAAACAGGGCTGCCTTCAGATGTCTTCTAAAAGTCACATAGTGTTTTTTTCCCCTTGACATCTGATGGGAGGGCGTTCCACAGGGCGGGCGCCACTACCGAGCAGGCCCTCTGCCTGGTTCCCTGTAACCTCACTTCTCACAGGGAGGGACCCACCAGAAGGCCCTCAGAGCTGGACCACAGTGTCCAGGCTCAACAATGGGGGTGGAGATGCTCCTTCAGGTATACTGGGCCGAGGCCGTTAAGGGCTTGAAAGGTCAGCACCAACACTTTGAATTGTGCTTGGAAACGTAACTTGCCCTCTCTGTGCCACACAGCCTACAAGCAAGAGGGAAGAGCAGTGGCAATGCACTGTCACAGACAACAAAAGGTTAAATAAACAAGGTGGGGGGGGAGGTTGAGGGGGGGGAGAGATTGGAGCAGCCACAGCAGGGTGAGTAAGGGCTGGAGAGGGGGCAGCTCAAAGCTGGCAGGAGCTCTGGGTGCAATGCTCTGAGTTTGCAGCCTTGCTGCCAAGAAAGCACGTTTAGTTTGCTGGGGGGAGAAACTGGGTGGGTGGGGAATCCCCAGTAAATCGCAACTGGGAAAGATTCCCATGCAAATGCCACCCCTGTCCCAAGTTTGCATGTCAGATTGCTCTTTTTTAAAAAGAAAAACAAGCGTCTTGGGTGGATTCAAGTGCTGCCAGGGGAGAACATAAAACTCACCACAGCGCACCCAAACAACGCATTTAACTACCTTGGCAAAAGCTGAAGGAAGTCTCCCCTGCGCGGCACAGCTGTGTGATTATTCTCCTCCTGCAATACTTCTCTGGCATGAAAGCTCGAGGTCGACACACCCATATTTACAGCACACTGTGTACTGTACCCGTGTGCCCCTTGCCAAGAAACTCAACCTATCTAACTGGCGGAAAAACAGAGTCATACCAGGTTAATCCGATTCTTAAAATTGCACAACTTCTATAAAACTGAAGGGGGGGCTCTCTCTCTCTCTCCCCTCCTCTCCTATTTTCATTTCCCTCCCTCCTTCTTTTTGATCCTTTCCCTCCTCTCCAACTTGCTGGAATTCATCCCTCTCTCCCTCCCTGCCCCGTTCACAGTCAAGTTTGTATCTCACTTCCAAAATAGTAATAATAGTACAGTGGTACCTCAGGTTACATACGCTTCAGGTTACACACTCCACTAACCCAGAAATAGTGCTTCAGGTTAAGAACTTTGCTTCAGGATAAGAACAGAAATCGTGCTCCGGCGGCGCGGCGGCAGAGGGAGGCCCCATTAGCTAAAGTGGTGCTTCAGGTTAAGAACAGTTTCAGGTTAAGAACGGACCTCCGGAATGAATTAAGTACTTAACCTGAGGTACCACTGTAATAAAAAGGGTCTTCTATTCCTTCTCTTTTAGTAATCCATGGGGGGGGGGAGGCAGGGGAGAGGCAGCAGCTGCGGGCAGCGGAGGGGGGGGGAGGTCGATGCATAGGAATGACGCCCAAGGTCATTTGGACGCATTTCTGCACTTGTGATACGGGAACCGCTTTGATAAGATGAAAGGCTCACGATAATAAATCCCCAAATTTAAACTCCGGAGAGCCGAGTGCATAATTATTTCCAGGAGGCACCATCTATTAGCGGGAGGTTCCCAAAACTCTCTTCCTACCCTTTTTCTTTTTGTGTGTGTGTGTGCCAGCCTCCCATTTAGACCTCTCTATCCCCAATTGTGATCCTTTCAAAACCGTCCATTTGTCTCTTCTCCTCACCCTTTGCCTACAATGGCATCTGCTCGCTCATCCCCCCCCCCCCCCAGGACTCAAGGGGTTTAATGCCATCCCTCCACTGCCAACAGCATGAGCTCCCTCAAGCCAGGGATTACTTGGTCGCAAACTGGGAATGAGCGTTTGCTTAAACAGCTGCAAGCAGCATGCACCCTTTCCAGCAAGCCAGAGCTGCTCTCTCCTGTAATTAACTTTGCATGGGGCATGGCTAACTTCTGACCGGCATGTCTGGGGTCATTATCTGCTACTAGCAACAAGCTTTCCAAGCCCCCCACCCCACCCCAAAGCTAATAATAATAATAATAATAATAATAATAATAATAATAATAATTTATACCCCACGCATCTGGCTGGGTTTCCCCAGCCACTCTGAGAGCCACTGTGGTGTAGTGGTTAAGAGCGGTAGTCTCGTAATCTGGGGAACCGGGTTTGAGTCTCCGCTCCTCCACATGCAGCTGCTGGGTGACCTTGGGCTAGTCACACTTCTCTGAAGTCTCTCAGCCCCACTCACCTCACAGAGTGTTTGTTGTGGGGGAGGAAGGGAAAGGAGAATGTTAGCCGCTTTGAGACTCCTTAAAGGGAGTGAAACGCGGGATATCAAATCCAAACTCTTCTTCTTCTTCTTCTTCTTCTGGGCGGCTTCCAACAGAATATTAAAAGACAATAATCTATTAAACATTAAAAGCTTCCCTAAATAGGGCTGCCTTCAGATGTCTTCTAAAAGTATTACTAAATAACCCACCAAGACCTTAACGAAAAGAATCACCACCATCAAAATCTTGCATTGCTACTGAAAGATGCTCAGGTCTGGGCTTGGGCAGACTTTGAAGAGCATATTCTACAACCACTGGAGAGGGCTGGCAATTACTATGAAGACGTTTCCGGTTAGAGCGTGGTGCTGATAATGCCCAGGTTGCAGGTTCAATCCCCGTAAGGGATGGCTGCATATTCCTGCATTGCAGTTGATCCGCAGGGTCCGTTCCAATTCCGAGTCTATGATTTCTCGCCTGCTGTGCTGTTTCCACTAGCTGAAAAAGGCCACTTTTAGTAGCAAGAAACCACCAATGGCTGATTTCAGAGCTTACAGGAAAACAGTAAGACAGCACTGAGGTGACTGAAGGGGTTTTGCTGGCTGTTGGGCACAGTGATGGTGGGCTTTAATGGTTCAGAGTCAACAGAGGCTGACTCCTTCCCCATACCCTCCAACATTTCTCCGATGAAAATAGGGATGTCCCAGTCCACAATGATAATTCTACTATTGATACCCCACACACATCTTACTGGGTTGCCCCAGCCACTCTGGGCAGCTTCCAACCTATATAAAAATGTAATAGAACATGAAACAATAAAAATACAGGACTGCCTTCAAGCAGCTTGGGGGGGTCAGATAACTCCATACTCTCCAACATTTCTCCAATGAAAATAGGGACATCCTGCGGGAAAGCGGGACGTTCCAGGATCGAATCAGAAACCAGGACGGCTTCTCTAAATCAGGGACGTCCCTGAAAAATAGGGACACTTGGAGAGTCTGTTTCCCTTTTTCTGTTCTTTGGAATCCATCATTTATGGAGGTAAGGAAAAAAGGAAGGAGGCAGACTCTGTTAAGCATCATCACAGTGCTCAACAACCAGAAAAAAATAAAATACTCTTCTTCTTCTTCTTCTTCTTCCTCCTCCTCCTCCTCAAGCTCTCCTGTTGTAAGGTAAAGGGTAAAGGGACCCCTGACCATTAGGTCCAGTCACACACAACTCTGGGGTTGTGGTGCTCATCTCGCTTTACTGGCCAAGGGAGCCGGCATACAGCTTCCGGGTCATGTGGCCAGCATGACTAAGCTGCTTCTGGTGAACCAGAGCAGTGCATGGAAACACCATTTACCTTCCCGTCACAGCAGTATCTATTTATCTACTTGCATTTTGACGTGCTTTCAAACTGCTAGGTTGGCAGGAGCAGGGACCGAGCAACGGGCGCTCACCCCATCGCGGGGATTCGAACCGCCGACCTTCTGATCGGCAAGTCCTAGGCTCTGTGGTTTAACCCACAGCACCACCCGCGTCCCTCCCATATTGTAGGCCATGCACATTTCTTAGGTATTGATTCTAATTTTAGGACATGCCTCTTTCACCAAAGATAGTGATCTAAAACTAACACCCCTCAATGCTCGGCTTTGTAGAACCAGCCAGAGCAAAGGTAAGACCTACTGGGGACACACACACACACACACCGGCCTTCTGAAAGCAGCTCCCATTTTGCACAGAGATTGTGTGAACACAGCCACGAGGAGAACCTGACTGACCCAGCGCAGGTGGGGCTCACTGCCTGGTGTCAAGCCCTACCCACAATGCTTTTGCAGACTGCCTGCCCCTTGAGAGAGGCATGTGGCTGAGCGCCAGTGGAACAGAAGTGTAATGTCTTCCCTCACCCCTCTAGCTTGGGCCACAAAAATATCCAGGAACGAAAAGTGCAGGTTCGCATCTACTTCCCCCGCCAGTGGTTATTTGCAGAGCTTGAGCTTCTCAACATTTCCCTCTTAACTCTGCAACGTGTCGAGTTAATAGGCTACCTGAAACACAGCCATTGTCACTTCCAGGTTCTGAAGACCACAGAGAAGGCTTTAAGTGGTTTGTCAGGCATGACGCCCAATCTGTGCCATACAAGAAAATGGATTTCTCTCCCCTCTTATTTTCTCTCCTTCTGCGCACTACAGATCGGCAGCTGTATTCAACAGTTTGTTTATCAAATTAAGTGGCACTGAGCAGGGTTGAGATTCTGTGTGTGTGTGTGTGTGTGTGTGTGTGTGTGTGTGTGTTTCCCTCTCTCTCTTTTGCAGTGCTTAATCTCTGACCTATTGTCCCCAGCCATGTTCCAGGCAAGAAGAACACATTTCGGGCTGTGCTCCCGAAGGATAATTGGGCAAGAAGTTTGTTACGGCCGCCGCCGCCCCCTCCCTCCTCGCCCCCTCCCCCCTCAGCTTGACATCGTCAATGAGAGATCCCCTGCCAAAAACAACGCATGCAGGCCTCCTATTTATGCGGCTGCACATTAGCAAAGGACATTTTGTCACGACTGATTTATCGCCAGAGCTAGTTTCTGACATCTGCCAGTGACAAGTGTGCGCTAATCGAAGGGACACATTGATTCGGAGGCACCTGGCAAGGTCTGCTTCCCTAATTATCGGCCTGTTCTCTCGCCAGCTACTAAGCCCTGCGGGGTTATCCGAGGCACTGTTCCCCTGGCGAGCCCTCCCCGCCGACACAAACACAGCCCCTTCACCAGTTCGCATAGTACCTTCTGCATACTAGTGAAGAGCAAGCTGAGTTTTACCCAGGCAGAAAATATCAACAAGTTGCAGCAGGGGCTCATGTGCCACATCAGGATGTGTGCATGGGTGCGCATCAGCCCGGACACCGAGGTCCAGCTCCGAGGGCCTTCTGGCAGTTCCCACACCGCGAGAGGTGAGGTTGCAGGGAACCAGGCAGAGGGCCTTCTTGGTAGTGGCGCCCTCCCATCAGATGTCACAAAGATAAAGAACTACACAACTTTTAGAAGACATCTGAAGGCAGTGTTGGGAAGTTTCAAAACGTTTCATGTTTAATTGTTTTTGTATATGCTGGAAGGTGCCCAGAGTTGGTCGGGTAACCCAGTCAGATGGTCAGGGTACAGTGGTACCTCAGGTTAAGTACTTAATTCGTTCTGGAGGTCCGTTCTTAACCTGTAACTGTTCTTAACCTGAAGCACCACTTCAGCTAATGGGGCCTCCCGCTGCCACTGCGCCACCGCCGCACGATTTCTGTTCTCATCCTGAAGCAAAGTTCTTAACCCGAGGTTAGCAGAGTCTGTAACCTGAAGCGTCTGTAACCTGAAGTGTATGTAACCCAAGGTACCACTGTATTATTATTATTATTATTATTATTATTATTATTATTATTATTATCATCATTCTTCCACTGCCCTTTCCTGGAGTCTAGGGCAGGAAAGAGACAGGGATAAATGTACGCTTGTGTTTTGAGGGCCAAACCAAGCAAAACTGAGAGAGTTCTGTGATCTGGGTTCTATGGCGTAGGGGAAGGATTGACTTCAGAACAGTGGCTGGGTTAGAGGTCGGAATCCGATGGTGTGGGGGGCAGTATTTAACCCTTGCCACCTGCAGCATTTTCCTGATCTAAATTGTCCCCGCCTTACTGCTTTTTCTGTCTCACAGTAGAAGGCACACCGGGTTTCTTTTTTCAGACACATTTTATTATTACTATTAAAACACATTTCTTCCAAAGTTACAATACAGCTTTGTCCACTGCCATAATATCACAGAACGATCACGCCGATCCTCAATCACTGTCATGTTGGTTCGCCTAACAGCCCCAATAGGAACCCAACTACTGATGTGGTTTACTAGACATTGCAAGGTAACCGCACTAATTAACCCTAGAGATTGAGGGATGGATCATCGAAGTAAGAGAAGCTGCCTTATACTGAACCATCCCCATATATCGCCCAAAACCACTTCAAAGTGCATATTGTGACATCGGTTTTTTATATTTTGACCTGGCAATATATTGCGCATCATGACGTGTGCCAAGACGATATATTGTCCAAAACCGGTTTCAACTACGTATCATGATATTGCTTCCATTTCTGACCTGGCAATCTATCATAAATCATGACGTGTATGTGTGTGCTATGCAAAAAAACACAATGTGGGGGAAACCGTGAAGCCAGCCAGTGCATCTATGTAGCTCCATCCTCATTTCAGACATTGTGATATATCAGTATACAGTGGTACCTCGGGTTAAGAACTTAATTCATTCCGGAGGTCCGTTCTTAACCTGAAACTGTTCTTAACCTAAGGTACACTTTAGCTAATGGGGCCTTCCGCTGCTGCCGCACGATTTCTGTTCTTATCCTGAGGTAAAGTTCTTAACCCAAGGTACTATTTCTGGGTTAGCGGAGTCTGTAACCTGAAGCGTCTGAAACCTGAGGTACCACTGTACTGTATATATCACAATGTTGAAAACCAGGTAGAGTCGTACCTCGGACGTCGAAAGCCTTGCGACTCAAATGTTTTGCCTCCCAAATGCCGCAAACCCAGAAGTGAGTGTTCCAGTTTGCGAACGTTCTTTGGAACCCGAATGTCCGACATGGCTTCCGTGGCTTCCGATTGGCTGCAGGAGCTTCCTGCAGCCAATTGAAAGCCGCGCCTTGGTTTCTATATAACGTTTTGGAAGTCAAACAGACTTCCGGAATGGATTCCATTCGACTTCCGAGGCACGACTCTATTGCCCAGCCCTACTCTCAGGACTCCTGACAAACTATAGTTTCCATGATCTTCTGGGGGAAAGCCATGGTGGTTTAAAGTGGTCTCATCTTGTTTTCAATGTATGTCACGAATGTGGCCATTATTAATTCAGCACAATCACCCTATATGCTAATAGCAGGTATCATATCTCTAAGGGCTGAATACCTTACAAGCCAAAATACCTCACAAGAGAAGAGGTACCAGAAGACTTGGGGGAACCTCGGAGTTAGAAGAAGTATTAAAAAAAGCTGGGGGGGGATGCACAGGGAGCAGACCCCCCCCCAAATAAAACAGTCCATGGGGGATTGATGCATGCTCAGTTGCCATTGCAAGCTAACACCTATGCATGCCTCTCTGAAATGAACAGTTCTTGCATATTTCCTATTCATTTCTCTCTGTGTGTTGTTGTAGTTTTGCAAGAGGTGTTGTTGTTCCGCGCCAGTCAATTCCAGCGACTTGTGCCAAAAAGGTGCCTCAAACAGGTCTACTCTGGAGCAAGCAGACTGAGGCAGCATGCACATGTTTATAATTGAACAAACAAACAAACAAACAAACAAACACAGTGACCATTGCCATTTCCCCTTCGCCCACCAAAAACATTTGAGGGCAAATATGATTAATTGCAATTTTACGGCAAACATTACGCCTCAACGTTCTAAGTCAAAAAAGGACGTGTTTCTCTCCCTCCCTCCCTCTCTCCTCCAGTCTTTCTGAGCTTGTGCATTCAGCAATTTTCCTTCCCTTGCCCCAGGAGAATCTATTTTTAAATTTGCCTAAATGTATTCTACATCTCCTTTTGATCTAAACTGCAGCTTCTCGCAACCCAGAGAGGGAGGAAGGGAAGCGAGGAGCAAGGAAATCTTTAGTCTTTTCTCTCCTGCCCCCCCAATCTCGATCGGCACGGCATATACCACCCGGACTGCGGCTGAACTTTCCCATTCTGCTCTGCGTTTCACTCCAAGGCCGGTCGCGGCAGGGACACGGGCTAAGGGATATGCCTTGCCCTGCGCTGTTCCAGATAAAGTCATGCTCTGCACAGCGTTCTGCCATGTGCCTCGAGCACATGGTGGTTCCGGCTACAAACCAACGTTGCTGTGGTTTTTCTCCTCCTTCCTCCAATGTGAAAAGGCAGAGCTTTAGAAAAGACCTGCTTGACGGATTAGCCGCCTCTCCTCCTGCACGACCCATGTGCAGAGGCCAAGGATAAGGGAGTTTGTAGCAAAACGACACTCTCCAACCTGCAGACTCGTGAAAGCAGCACACAAGGGTTGTTTACACGTCGTGGAGCTCCCGAGCAGTGTTAGAAACTCATATATATAACCTAGGTGCCAAACGGCTCCTTAAACCATGGTTACAGTCGCCAAAAAGGAATGTCTAGTTGCCATTTTTGGACAAGATGGCACTCAAGTCTTATTTTTCAAAGCACGAACTGGCTGTGACGTCTGACTAGTTCACATGACAACCTTGAGCTAGGTTAAGAACTTTGAGAACTTAAGGAAGAAAAGTCACTTAATCCAGGGACAGTCCAGATAGATAATGGCCACTTCCGATGGTGACTGCTCCTGTTCAGGCTCCACAAAAAAAGGGAATTTGGTTCCAGAAATGCAGCATGCCCAGTTCAGATAGTGTAGCACATGTGGTGCTGTGGTCTAAACCACTGAGCCTCTTGGGCTTGCCGATTGGAAGGTCGGCGGTTCAAATCCCCATGACAGAGTGAGCTCCTGTTGCTCGGTCCCAGCTCCTGCCAACCTAGCAGTTTGAAAGCATGCCGGTGCAAGTAGATAAATAGGTACCGCTGTGGTGGGAAAGTAAATGGCGTTTCCTTGCGCTCTGGTACTTTTCACAGTGTTCCATGTGCCAGAAGCAGTTTAGTCATGCTGGCCACATGACCCGCAAAGCTGTCTGTGGACAAACGTCGGCTCCCTCGGCCTGAAAGCGAGATGAGCGCCACAACCCCATAGTTGCCTTGACTGGACTGTCCAGGGGTCTTTGCCTTTACCTTTTTTTTTTTTAACCATGTTGTACCTTTACAGATCCTGCCAACCTAGCAGCTCTAAAGCACATCAAAGTGCAAGTAGATAAATAGGTACCGCTCTGGCAGGAAGGTAAAAGGCGTTTCTGTGCGCTGCTCTGGTTTTGCCAGAAGCGGCTTAGTCATGCTGGCCACATGACCCGGAAAAACTGTCTGTGGACAAACACTGGCTCCCTCGGCCAGTAAAGCGAGATGAGCGCCACAACCCCAGAGTCGTTCATGACTGGACTTAACTGTCAGGGGTCCTTTACCTTTTTACCTTTAGATGGTAAGCCTGCCATTGGACACAGGGCACTAAAGGATTCTGAAGAAGGCAGGGTGATCACAGAGGACTCTGTGGGCCTATGTGATCATCCCTGAATGGGATGAGTAAGGCAAGACTGAGCCCTTGGAGAACAGTCCTTGGAGAACAGCTGTGGGAAACCTACTCTGTCAGCGTAGACAGTACTGGCCTACATGGAGAAACAGTCTGACCTGGTGACCATTGGCCACGATGCTCATGGGAGTTGAGTACAGCAACATCTCTGGAAGGCCCCACAAGTCCCCCAGCCCTGCTGTATGGTTAACAAGTTTTAAGCTGGGTATTCAGAATAACTCTTCTATCTTTTCAGTGAAGTCACATAGGACAGTAGATGGGAAGCTACCCTAATACCAGGTCAATCTGTTTCTCCATGTTCTGCCTACTCTGACTGGAAGCTGCACTCCAAGGTGTTTTCACCTGCCAGGGATTGAACCTGGAATCCTTTGGCATTATAGGAACTGCTCTACCAGTGAATTATTGTCCTTCCTTACCCAGAGGAAGGAAGGTATTCAACGTAGCGCTAAGCAGGTCTCTCCACCGGCAAAAGCATTTCTGCTTGCCAGATGAAACCATCAGTACAAGCAAGAGTAACAAACCACTATTCTTTGTTTATATATATATTTTTAAAATGTATACTCTGCTTTTTGAGGAACTTCCTCCACAAAAGCTGCTTACAATCCTTGGCTTAGCGTTGCATCTGAAAGCGGACAGTGGCTTGTTTCACTCAAACAGACCACAGAGTAAACTTTTGTTTCGCATTGCAAATTGGTTTTTTGTTTTTGCTTTCAAGGAAGAAACTGCAAAGCCCAGTGCACATGCAACACTAAGATAGCGTTCATGATTTGCTGCTGCTTCTCATAATAGCTTGCCACTTCTCATCCATAGGAAGGAGCAAAACAGGAGTCATTTGTACATTCACAATAAACCACTTACCACGGTTTATTGTGGTAAGTGAGCATAGTCAATGATCTTTTAAAAAGTCTTTAGCTAGCTAGAAGCTAATTACATTGTTCAAACAATGATCAACTTCAACAGCTGCTCTTGGACAATGTATCCATAGAACTTTAATTGAAGCCATCATCAAGCAGAAAATTAAAATACCCCCCCCCCTCTTTAAAGTAACTTTCTTCTGTGTAAGACGGGGTAGGCAACCTAAGGTCCAGGGGCTGGATGCGGCCCAATCGCCTTCTCAATCTGGCCTGTGGACAGTCCAAGATTCAGTGTGTTTTTACATGAGTAGAATGTGTCCTTTTATTTAAAACACACCTCTGGGTTATTTGTGGGGCATAGGAATTCATTCATTATTATTTTTTCAAAATATAGTCCGGCCCACCACATGGTCTGAGGGATGGTGGACCGGCCAACAGCTGAAAAAGGTTGCTGTTATAAGACATTCCCTGGCTGCTTACCCATCTGGGAAGCAATGTGAAAATTACTTTTTCTGCAAGGTTCCCATTGGAGCTATTACATGTTATTTCTGCTGCTATTTTGGTGTGTGTGCTTTTTAAGGAATTGCACATGTTTTTCTGCCATTACATCCTCTGTGATTTTTTTTTAAATTATAATGTAGTTTTACTTATGCTCTTAAGTATGCTACTTGGCAGCATATGAAATTCACCAGGCACGTTTTGCACCTGGCTATCTGTCACTTGCCACCAAGTGAAGATGCCTGAGCACCAGGATAGTGCCTGACGTCTTCACCATCTGTAGGCACATGCCATCTTCACCATCTGTAGGGATCCTTGGATCCTGAATGTTTTCCCACACTAGCAAGCCATCCTGTAGAATTCTGTTATATTTTATCTGCACAATGAATTTCAGGTACCAAAAAGTTACATTGAAAAATACGAATTCCGAGCCATCTGCCCCCAAAATGGCAACGAGGAATTCCATTTTGGGGACCGTAACCCTGGTTTAAGGGACGCGGGTGGTGCTGTGGGTTAAACCACAGAGTCTAGGACTTGCCGATCAGAAGGTCGGCGGTTCGAATCCCCGCGACGGGGTGAGCTCCTGTTGCTCGGTCCCTGCTCCTGCCAACCTAGCAGTTCGAAAGCACGTCAAAGTGCAAGTAGATAAATAGGTACCGTTCCGGCGGGAAGGTAAATGGCATTTCCGTGCGCTGCTCTGGTTCGCCAGAAGCGGCTTAGTCATGCTGGCCACATGACCCAGAAGCTGTACGCCGGCTCCTTCGGCCAATAAAGTGAGATGAGCACCGCAACCCCAGAGTCGGTCACGACTGGACCTAATGGTCAGGGGTCCCTTTACCTTTACCTTTACCCCTGGTTTAAAGAGCCATTTGGTACCTAGTTTATATAACTGAGTTTCTAACACTTGGAGCCTTAACAAGGGATTAACAAGTTCAGTTGATAATGGCACTAAGGATACATGCTGAAGATCTGCAGAGACGGCTCTGTTGTTGAACCTCCTGCCATAAGAAGCATCTTCCGTAGGGGTAAAGGTCTTCTCTGCCATAGCCCTACACACCAAGGAACAACCTCACCAAGGAAGCCCATGTATGGAAGCCAACTTATGAAACCTTCTATTTTCAGAAAAACTTTTCCTTGTGGCCACTGAGGTGGTACAGTGGACCGCACCACTTCAGAAGGTAGGCGAGAGGAGCACCGTTTTGAAGTCTCTCCTGTTCTTTTTGCTCTGTACCAATTCACATGACTGGTGAGGATTTATGGTGTGACTACCATGATTCCCTACTCCATTCTACCACACTGGTCTGGTCTGGACTCCATATTTACCATCATCTGTGGTCGTTCCACTGCGGCCTTATACTGAAAGCTCAAATACATCGTTCCAAAAGGAGAGAGCCCCACAGTGGTCATGTGAGTTGGTCCTTGGGAGATTTAGTGGGGCAGAATACATCACAAATTTAAACTTGCTTCTGTGGGGCTTGTCAGTTCTCAACCGCTAGCATGACTCGCCGTCATGTCTTCAAAATATTTTTCTTGGGGACTAGAAACTTTTTTTAAAGGAAACACACTACACAAAAAGTGCCTCATAGGCACTATGTTTTCTAGCCCCAGAGTACAGTATTTGGCATGTTTCTATCCAAAAACCATTAAGGTTGCCTGAGGGCTTATAGAATTTCTTCTGAGAGCAATGTGAACTACACTTCACAATATTCTGAAAGAATCAGTGCTTGTTTGCTTGCTTGCTTGACTGTGCACAAAGCTTGATTTCCAGAATTAATGTGCTGCAGTTTAGTTCTGTCAGGAAAACAAAGCACCCCTGAATTTGGAAGCTCCCCCCTGCGTTCCCTCAAGTTGAAGGACTCTCCCTCCCTCTCTAGTTAACTTAGTGATAGAAGAAATGAATTCTGCGCCTGCTCTGGGACACTTCGATTTCGTTTTACTTCATTTGTTCCAGGGTGGAGGCCTCCTATTAAAAACAGATGCCAAGGCCCAGAGGTACAGTAAGCCCTGGCTGTATATCTATGCCATCCGTGCTACATGCATTTCATGGGAAGTTTTGAGTCGGCGATCCTTGCCTTTAACCCACATGCACAATGTGCTAATTCCGCCCCAGTGTTTTGCGCATGACTGGCCTAATTCTGCCAAGAAAACTCCTCCAAAGCTCAGTGAACTCGGCAGAGGCATTCCGTTCAAATTTGTCGAGCTTTGATCACGCAGGCCCCGGGTTTTAAGGTGCTACAGGCCTAGCGGGTTTCATCGCCTGCACCTTAAAGTTCAAGGGACGCAAAACACAAGCCGGGTTCCCAAAGCAACCCTCTAAGACGACACGACAGAATGCATGTGCTTCAGGGTACATCAAGGGTATAATTATCAAAGTGACATCACAGCTTTGCCAACAACACAGGCTGGGGAACGGCACGTTCCCAAGCCCAATAATAACTTCAGAGTTTTGCAGTAAAATAATGCAAAATATATTAGAAAGCCAGCCACAGGGCAAATTTAAAAAGCACAGCCAAATGCTGAGTTAGATCTCCTCGCAGACCCCAAACTGATTTCTATACTCCCCTCTAAAGGAAGCGCTCACATCCAAAGGCTTCTTTTTATCAATTTTCCCTCCAAATCCGGATTTTCAGAACCTTGTGTTCACTTTCATGAGCCAGATTTAGGAAGCAACCCTATACAAACGTAACCTGGGATTAAGTCCTATTGACTTGCTTCTTCTTCTTCTTCTTTATACTTTATTTACAACATGGTCCACAACAACTCATACATACAAACCAACCCACCACCATCGACAATTTAATTATCAAAATTAAACTCCTATCCCCTTAAACAAAGAAAACATAACATAAAAATAAAAGACATCCTTTATCCTGCAAATGGCCTCCTTATTTACTTCTTTTATACTGTTTCTTTTATATGTGATTATTACAATTTTTCCTAATTATGACTTATAAACCGCAAAGTCTCCTGTAGAAATTAATCAAAACAAGTCCACGTGTATATTTTGGGGCACTGTCTGGTAAAGTGTTCTCTGCATTTTCCCCATTCTTTTTGAAATTCTTGTCTAGGTTGTCCCCTAATTGTCTCTGTTAATCTGGCCAATTCAGTATAATCTGATAATTTATCCTGCCATTCCTTTTTTGTTGGCACAAATTCTTTTTTCCAATTTCTGGCAATTAAGGTCCTCGCCGCGCCTGTGGCATAAAGGAATATTTTCCGATCTTCTTTTGCTATACCTGTGTCTGTTATTCCTAACAGGAAAGCTTCTGTATTTTTCACAAAGTTATATTTAAACATTTTTTAAGTTCATCACATACTATATCCCAGAAGCTTTTGATTTTTTCACAGCTCCACCAGATATGTATAAGTGTCCCTTCTGCTCTGCCTTGCCTGGTGGAAGACAGACTTGGGTATAAAGGTGAAGCCGGATTTCTTACTTGAAAACAGCAGCCCTTATTCGTTAACGGGAGAAGTGAGGAGGGAAGGAGATGGAGAAATGTAACTCACAACTCCAGAAGGCCACTGAGCTCGCCACTGCTTTAGTGGCTTTCCGACTCTCAGTATGTGGGTCTTAATTAAAGTCTGTTGCTTATTCTAACAGTTTTGGGCAGCAGGGACACAGGTGGCGCTGTGGTCAAAACCACTGAGCCTAGGGTTTGCCGATCGGAAGGTCGGTGGTTCGAATCCCCGCGATGGGGTAAGCTCCTGTTGCTCGGTCCCTGCTCCTGCCCACCTAGCAGTTCAAAAGCATACCAGTGTGAGTAGATAAATAGGTACTGCTCCAGCGGGAAGGTAAACAGTGTTTCCGTGCACTGCTCTGGTTCGCCAGAAGCAGCTTAGTCATGCTGGCCACATGACCCGGAAGCTGTCTGCGGACAAATGCCAGCTCCCTCAACCTATAGAGCGAGATGAGTGCACAACCCCAGAGTCGTCCACGACTGGACCTAATGGTCAGGGGTACCTTTACCTTTACCTAGCTCTCCAGAACCCTCAGCACAGGTCTTTCCCATTACCTGCTACTGCAGGGAGCTGGAAACTCGTAGCTCTCTGGATGTTGCTATATTGCAACTTCCATCATCCTTGCCCATTGGCCATGCCGGCTGCATCTCGTGGGGCCCAACAACACCTGTAGGGCCACCAATTCCCCATCCCTTTACTACTAGGTCCTTTTAACTGAAAGCTGCACCCACTGCCTTGCCCCCAGTAAGCAGTAGTCACACTGAGGTCAACAGTGTGCCTCAATGGCACTTCCCCAACTGGCCGCTGTTCTCCTGGGGTAGCTCAGTTGGTAGAGCTTGAGACTGTTAAGCTCAGAGTCGTGGGTTCAAGTCTCACATTGGGCAAAAGATTTCCCACATTAAAGGAGGTTGGCCTAGATAATCCTTGTGGTCCCTCCCACCTCTACAATTCTTTTATAACATATTTTATTAAATTTCCCATAAGGTTCCAATTCATAATATATTTTTTTCTTTTGTTCTATCGACTTCCCATCCCATTTCCCATGGTGGTTGTTTTTTTATTCTATCCCTTTGCTGTACCCTAACGTCACTGTTTTATTTTTATTATTTTTATTTGATTTTACTAATATAAAATTATAACAATCCCAATGCTCATCCATATACAGAGATAACTCTGAATCTCCCCCACCGCCTTCATGGTTCCTATTGTCAGCATTTACAACTGCATATTATTCTATAATCTATATTTTATATCAATCCATATTGTCCATAATATTTATTACATTACAAGTGAGATTAAAATCCTGCTAATGTTTTCATCTGCTTGCAATGGTCTCTTAAATAGATTGTAATTTTTTCCAATTCTTTTTAAAAGTTTTTTTTTTGGTCATTTTATCCAAGAGGACTAGCTTCACTGTTTTCTATCATAACCACAAAAAAATAATCTCTCATTCTGGATGTTGCTCGTAGTTCAAATCCTGTTTGTGAATTGATCATTTTATAATATTTCTTTAAATGGTCTGGAAAAGGCTTCCATTTTTCCATAAAACCAAGTCTATGACTCTATGACCTCCCACCAGCCCCAGACCAGGGCTGGATGTAGGTTTGATGAGGCCCTAAGCTACTGAAGGTAATGGGGCCCTTTATATGTCCAGCTGTCCTTTGTCAACAACCAATTGCCACTGTTTTTTGTGCTGAATATATGCTATATGGTAATTTATGGACCTAATAGGTATCTAAATCCATTTGTACATAACAAAACACGTATTTTATCAAATTGTTGAATTAATCTTATATTTTGGAAATGTACATCCAGTTGTTTTTTTCCTTTATTTTTTGGGGGGGCCCCAAGAGAGTGAGGCCCTGAGCTATAGCTTGTTTAGCTTATACATAAATCCAGGACTGCCCCAGACAACATGGCCAGTGGTCAGAGATGATGGGAACTGCTATCCAACAATGTCCAAAGGACACCACACACTGGCTACCCCTGCGTGCGACTGAACCTCAGGTCCTCTCAACAGGAATTCAGCGCTCTGCCACTGAGCTAGTTTCTACAGTGAGCAGAGCTGAGATTTCCTGAAAGTCAACGTCCAGAATACCAAACCCTCCAAAATCCCAAAGCTCATAAGCGCTACTTGGGTCACTGAGCGGTGAAGAAAATGCACTCTCCATATGCCCCAAAGCCCCTTTCCTTGTTATTAGTCTCGCATGTTGCCGAGCTAAACTGAAAACAACTTTCCTGGACTTAAGCCCTGGTGAGTCAAAGTCAGCCTTGGGCCTTGTTCTTTCAGTATGAGAGGAATCCATGAATATTACAAAAGAAAACCTGCAACCAGAACAACTTTGCTGAAGGAAAAGTTTATCAGCATGCTTTGAGATTTCCAACGGTGCTGCATGCAGACTTCGGGGGGGGGGGACGACTAGTGGGACCGGGGGGGGGGAGCTTTGAATGACCAACCGAGAGCACAAATCACACGAATGACTGACCCATAACAGAGGTTGCAAATTAACTCTGACAGGTGATCATTAAAAAGTTGGCAGTCTCCCGAAACAGCAGAAGATTGCCGTTCTAATCATTTGCCCTCCCCTGCGACACGGCTTGGTGCATGTGGCTTGTGTTAGAGAGCTGATTCAAATGTCCAGCAAGGCAACTGGTAGAGTCCTCCCAACATGTTGAGCAGTGTGGAAGTTGCTTATCTGAATGTTTCTCCCTGTACCTTGAAAGAACAGACATGCCAAAGGGGCCCAGCCAGGCCTTTCAGCAAAACCTTCTCTCCCCTTATGTTTGAGGCTCAATTTTACCTAGACAGCCTTATGCTGCTGAGGACCCCAATACAGTGGTACCTTGGTTCTCAAACTTAATCCGTTCCGGAAGTCCATTCCAAAACCAAAGCGTTCCAAAACCAAGGCGCGCTTTCCCATAGAAAGTAATGCAAAACGGATTAATCCATTCCAGACTTTTAAAAACAACCCCTAATACAGCAATTTAACATGGATTTTACTATCTAACAAGACCACTGATCCATAAAATGAAAGCAATAAACAATGTACTGCAGTCACACAATCAATCAATAGCTGAACTGGGTTCCACACAGTCACAAAAACAAAACAAAAAGAGCCGCAAAAACAAAAACGCAAAATAAATAGCAAAAACCGACAGACCTCAGCGTAACACTCAAAACAGAAGTGTGGCACTCAAAATGGAAGTGTTTCACTCAAATCGGAAGCGTAACACTCAAAACAGAAGTGTGGCACTCAAATCAGAAGCACAACACTCAAAACGGACCACATTTGGCTTCCTTCCAGGTTTGCTGTGTTTGGGTTCCAAGTTGTTTGAGTAACAAGGCGTTTGAGAACCAAGGTACCACTGTACCTCAAGGATGACTTTTCCCCACATAAACCAAACAACACCTTGCAATAATAATCTGAAGCCCTTCTGTGTGTTCCCCCTACGATGAGATGCAGAGTGTGGGCCTTCTCAGTGGTGGCTCCCTGCTTAGGGACCGCTCTCCCCAGGAAGGCTTGTCTGGCACCATCATTATGTATCTTTCAGTACCAAGCAAAAACGTTTCTTTTCAGCCAGGCCTGAGGTTTTTATCTGTGGCTTCCTTCAGTGTGTATGATATTTTAGTTCTGAGATATATATATATGAAAGTTCTTTTTTAGTTTTTGCTCTCCTTTAGTTCTATATGAGCTTTGATGCACGTTCTGTTATTTGTAAGTCACTCTGAGTTACCTTTTGCACACACACACACACACACACACACACAAACACAAACAAATAGCTGAGGGCTAAACCACGTGCCTTTCTAAACATTTTAATCGGCTCTCGGAAACAAACTGTCGTATTTTTGTGGCCTTTTCAAATAGGCACGCAGATTGAACACACCTTTGAAACAAAGAAGCAAGGAGACTTTTCTCCTTCTCTCAGGGCTGACCTACATAGAACAAGAGATGAACTTCTGCTGGAGGTTGTGGTAGGCATTTACAGGGAACAATCAACAGGTTGCTCAGCCGTTCCTATGCCACTTAAGGATCCATTGGAAAAGGTCCTTTTGGTCCAAGGACTGTAGCAGAATCATAGAATCTTCGAGTTGGAAGGAACTCCAAGGGTGATCTCGTCCAACCCCCTGCAATGCAGGGATCTCAGCTAAAGCATCCATGACAGATGGTCAGCCAACCTCTGCTTAGGGACCTCCAAGGAAGGACAGTTCACCACCTCTCGTGGGAGTCTGTTCCACTGTCGAACAGCTCTTACTGCCAGAAAGTTTAGGACTCTCCTTTCTTGTAACTTGAAGACATTAGTTTGGATCCTACCCTCCAGAGCAGCTTGCTCCATCTTCCATGTGACAGCCCTTGAGATATCTGAAGATGGCTATCATATCTCCTCTCAGTCTCCTCTTTTCCAAGCTGAACATACCCAGCTCCTTCAACCACTTCTCATAAGGCTTAGTTTCCAGACCCCATATCATCTCTGTTGCCCTCCTCTGCGCACGTTCTAGCTTGTCAACATCCTTCTTAAATTATGGTGCCCAGAATTGGACACAGTATTCCAAGTCTGACCAAGCCAAAATAGAGTGGCCCTTTGACTTCCCTTGATCTAGACCAGCCTTTCTCAACCTGTGGGTCCCCAGATGTTGTTGAACGACAACTCCCATCACCCCTAGCTAGCAAGGCCAGAGCTCAGGGATGATGGGAGTTGTAGTCCAACAACATCTGGGGACCCACAGGTTGAGAACCGCTGATCTAGACACTACACTACTGTTGATGTAACCTAGACTAGTGTTAGCTTTTATTTTGCTACTGCATCACACTGTTGACTCATGTTAAGCCTGTGGTCCACCAAGACCCCTAAACCCTTTCCCCATGTACTGCTAGTAAGCCCAGCTGGAGGAAACCTGGCAATGGAGGTTGAGAATCAGCAAGACCCAGGAACACTTAAGCACATCTGTCCCATTGAGCGATTTCTTCCCAAGCAAATTTGAATTGGGGTCATGTAGCTCAGGAAGTCTTAATAACGTTTTCTATCAACACTCCTTCACACACACAAACTTTTTATTTATACATCTAAAAAAGCAACAGTGTGACCCATTCACACCTGTGGTGCATGGAACTGTGTCAGTAAGCCCAGATTGGCTGTGGTCCTCTGCCATGCGCACGTGTGGTACAAAACACACATTTTTATTCCGTGGGCATGACACCGCAAGCAGCCTTTGGAGGCCAAGCGAAACTACATAAACCGCAACGTGCAGCCTTTTCAACTCAAGGTAGCCACTTGGGAGCCATTTCACACATGCGTTCAGATCACTGGTTTACTCAACACTTGACGACACTTAAGGGAAAGTCCTCCATCAGAGTCAACTTCATTCAAAACACAAGTTTTATCTGTGATGCCACACAAGTCATCAAGCAATGCTATGACATTAGGCCCTGTTTTCAGAAGAACAAAACTAACCACAGGATAAAAACAACGCCAAGTTAGTGGCAGAAGAACCAAGCACAGTTCTAGCTTTTCACGGACAAGAAACATGTTTTTATAGGTTCCTCAGGAGGAGGTTTGCACCATGTTCCACTCCCAACGCTGGTCATTCTGTTTATTTATCTGGACTTCTTATCTCATGCTTTTGAAAACAGTCTCAGATTTGAAGCCTGTCCCAGGATAGGGGAGAGTGGAGCAGTTCCTGCTCCAGGAAACTGCGTCTGGCTCCAAATAAACACATTTGCGTGCGCAATTTTGCCCAACGCACACATTTTTGCAACGCGATTTCCCCGAAGATAATGCTTCAGGAACAGATGCGTTTATCTGCACACTTTAACCCATGCTTGTACACATTACGTGCCTGGAGAAATAAAATTCGGAAAAGTGCGCATTTCGAAGGATGGTTGAATTTCAGTTAGCGTATTGTTTCAGAAAGTGAATCCTTACTTCCGAGTAAGGATTCCTAGGGTCGTGCTAGAAGGCCCACTATATTCAGTGAAGCTTATTCCCTATGAAGCAAATTTTGAACTCCCCCCTTAATTTGAAACCACTTCCAGATTGCTTCTCTATTATAAATGCTCCGAGCCGTTTTGCAATTTTCTTTCAGAACTCAGCAGCCCCGGGGCCGTTTGCAACACGATGTTCCGAGCTCGCTAAGAGGCTTTTCGAAGTTGTCATGTGAGCACTTCCAGAAGGAAACGTTAGGTGGGGAGGACAACCTTTCCAGGATGAGCCCATTGACAAGGCCTCTGCCAGGGGAAATCCTGCTCACAGATGCCACTCAGGACAGGCCCTATAGATAACTAATCCTTTTACAACAGTTCCATGCAAATGATCTCATAATGCTGCCTGTGCAAATGAGCCCTTGCCAAGAGAACATAAATGCAAGGCTGCTTTTCCAAGGGAGAATCAGCAGGTGGGAGGCAGGCCGGTGCAACCCTCTCCTGCTAATACCCACCAATTCCCCATTGCACATCCTTCCCCTAGCACTTTTAACTCACAGCAGGGCTTGCTTCCAGTTTCGCAGCCCAGCTGCAGGGCAGGGAGCTGCAGAAGGAAAGAATCAGGAATCGACCAAGCTATTCCCCACTCCCATTAGCTGTATCAGGAAAACGCCAGTTAGGAAAGCTTGCTTTTCTCACAACATCAGCCCCCAATGGGGCCCCACAGTCCCTTGTTTTGGAAATCCAGACTCGTGGCTCTCTCCTTGCAAGCCAGGTCCTTGGCATAATCACAGCGAAAAACAACAACACCTCACTAATATAAGCCCTTGCTGGCACATGTTGTTGGTGGAGCAGCCAGATGCTGCTTTTTGCAAGTTGCAAAAGAAAAGGGGGATAAAATCCAAGCCAGAAATTTCATATCCTTATCAAGATCCATTAAATCTCAAACCGTTTTTATTTTCTAGGCTAATGTGCAATAGGAAACGGAATAGTTAGATGACTTTCTCCTACGGAAAGCAAATGAGGACTTGGTTGCTAAAAATATAGCAAGTTCCGCTTGCCTGCAAAAGCCTTACATGGAAGATGCAGGTTTCTTGATGTTTTCTGTGTTTGACAGTAGCTACTTTTAGGAGTTCTTTCCCACTGATGGAGAACCCATCGTTCGAAAGCCCTGGGGCGGGAATCTAGATTTTCATCCATTTTAAGTCGTGACCGACAGGACAGTCTCGACGCAAAAGAACAAATGGATACAAACCTGGCGCCAGAAATGGCAAAATGAATAAGTAAATAATAGTGGGGGGTGGGGGAGTATTTCAGCCACCCTGGTCACCCCAGAACTGACTTTAGCAGCCATCTTTCAACAAAGAAACTCCAAAAGGGAAAACGCAGCTTGAAACCACAGAATTGCAAATCATCAAGAGATTTGGTGCCATCCACTTGTAGATTGAATCAAAGGATTTTTATCACACTGTATGTGTCGATTGGCTTACCAATGTTGGGGTTTCTGTGTTATAAACAACAACTGGGTCTGGGTTTTGGTTTGAAGAAACGCAATTCTCACAGCCTGCACTTTTCTGCATTCCATTTCCTGCTCACTTCAGCTACATTTCTCTCCTTCCACCCCACCCTAGAAACAACCAGGAATGCATATGTATGTATTTGCAACTCAGGATAACACTTCATAACATTTGGTGAAGGGGACTGCGGTCCACAAAAGCTCGCACCGTAATAAAACTGCAAACTGTTGCAGCAAAAACAGCAGTTTTTAAATCTGGAGGGCCATGTCTGAATGGGAATTGGAACCCCTCGTGTTCTTCCTGGACTAAAGCACAGTACATTTCCAAGCACAGTTCAAAGTGTTGGTGCTGACCTTTAAAGCCCTAAATGGCCTCGGCCCAGTATACCTGAAGGAGCGTCTCCACCCCCATCGTTCAGCCTGGACACTAAGGTCCAGCTCCGAGGGCCTTCTGGCGGTTCCCTCACTGAGAGAAGTGAGGTTACAGGGTACCAGGCAGATGTCCTTCTCGGTAGTGGCGCCCGCCCTGTGGAACGCCCTCCCATCAGATGTCAAGGAAATAAACAGCTACCTGGCTTTTAGAAGACATCTGAAGGCAGCCCTGTACAGGGAAACTTTTTAGTGTGTGATTTCAGGGCTGGAACTCACTTGGATTCCATTCCGGCACCTCTCAAGTGGGTGCCACTGCTATTATAGAAGAATAAGGGAGGCGTTCATGGTGAGTTCTGGCACCTCTTTTTCTAGAAAAATAGCAGTGTGATGTTTTACGGTAAAACCTCGGTTGTCGAACGTAATCTGTTGCGGCAAACCGTTCAACTTCCGAAATGTTCGACAACTGAGTCGCGCCTTCTGATTGGCTGCAAGAGCGTCTTGCACTCAACAAGAAGCTGCGCCGGACGTTCGGGTTCCGAAAAACGTTCGAAAACCGGAGCATTTACTTCTGGGTTTTCAGCATTCGGGAGCCGAAACGTACGATAACGGAGGCGTTCGGGAACTGCTGTATTATGTTTTTATATATGTTGGAAGCCCCCCAGTGTGGCTGAGGCGACTCAGTCAAATGGGCAGGATACTGGTATCCTTATTATTGTTATTTTATAAAGGTTACTGAGATGGCACAGGAAGGAGCTGCTGGAAAAGCAAACCTTGTTGCTAGCAACATACAAACTGGCCACAGAAATAAACCTCCTTGAATAAGCTGGAACTTTATTCCAAATTAAGTAAGTTCATGATCAGGGTATGTTGTGTGCAAGGCTTTTTTTCCCTGCCAGAACTCTTTTTCTAGAAAAATAGCACTGGTTGTGTGGAATTCACGATCAACGGGTGGGGTGTGGGGATGTAAGACATGGGGTGGAAAGAAGAAGCTCTAGGAGGGGGTTGCGCTGCCCCTTATATAATGAAGCAAGAGAACGATTTTTAGCACCTATAATGACAAGGTCCCCTGGCTAGAACCCCTCTGGCATGATTTTATATCTCCTCGCAGACATAGATAAGCATGTGACCTGGCGTGTAGCACTCTTTGCAACTGCCACTAGGAAAATTAGAGCAAATTATACAGCCAAGATAGCCACCAACTGTAAAGGAGATGAATTTATTTGACCCTATCTACATCAAGCTATATTCTATCTTTATCACCAAACTCTGAATATAATTGCACATTGTATTAATTAACATTCTTTTTTAATATGTTAGTGGCCATGTGGTGATTTTAGCCTATACATTTTATTGTTTAATGTCTTAACCTGTATATTAAGGTACTTTTATAGCTCTGTTTAAGGGACGCGGGTGGCGCTGTGGGTTAAACCACAGAGCCTAGGACTTGCCGATCAGAAGGTCGGCGGTTCGAATCCCCGTGACGGATTGAGCTCCCGTTGCTTCGTCCCTGCTCCTGCCAACCTAACAGTTCGAAAGCACGTCAAAGTGCAAGTAGATAAATAGGTACCGCTCCGGTGGGAAGGTAAACGGCGTTTCCGTGTGCTGCTCTGGTTCGCCAGAAGCGGCTTAGTCATGCTGGCCACATGAACCGGAAGCTGTACGCCAGCTCCCTCAGCCAATAAAGCGAGATGAGCGCCGCAACCCCAGAGTCGGCCACGACTGGACCTAATGGTCAGGGGTCCCTTTACCTTTGTAGCTCTGTTTAGAGTAAGTAATGTCTTGATAATATAAATGTTTTGAGTTTTTGTATTAATCCAGAATATTTTCTTTTAATTGTTGAATGATGTCTTGTGTACATTGCAGCAGCCTTTGGCTATATGCAATAAAACTGACTGACTGACTGATTAGGAGGGGATTGGTTGTTGAGGCACAACAGCCCCTAGTGTGTATGTATGCGCGCACACACACTCACACAAAAACACACACAATCATTCTGTTTGTTTGCACTCGAGTCTCCCCAACAAATCTCCTACGGCTGATTTACCTGGCCTGACTGGACTCTGCATGCAGTTCTGAGAAACCATGGTAGGGTGGGCCGACGTAGATGCTCTGCTGCTGAGGTCCATGACGGAAGGTGATGCTGAGGTAGATTGCTGAAGAGCTGGTTGGTGTGGGCTGTGGTCATGCTGGGCCGGGCTGGGCGGAATGCCGTTCTCCGAGAGAAACTCTTCCAGGTCCATGTATTCCAACTGGAAAGTGTCGCCATCGTAGGGAAGGGTCTTGTCCCATAATGTAGGACCCAGAAAAGCGGACTGTGGGACCATAGCATTAGTATTGTCCTCATCCAGCTTTTTCTCTTTGTCTTTTTCTTTATAAAACCCTGAAAGGGAAAGAAAGAGAAAGAGAGAGGGGACAGGGAGGGGGCGAAAAGTCAGTATGTCCACAGAGGAGTTTGCTTGTTTTCTTTCTTGCTTTATAGGAAAACGACAACAGCAACCCTAAGAGTCGGTTCTCCTCCTGCAATTACGGCTCTCTCCGTACGGAAAGCTCTACGTTTCGGTATAGGGTTTTGAAGGGCCTGGGATAAATTATTTTCGACTCATTAAATATATGCAGGGTTTCCGCCTCTGTTTCTAATTAGCAATTCATCTGTACACTTGGCTTCGAGCAAACGTCAAGATCCAAACAACACTGTGAGGTTTCATCAGAGCAGTCGCAGCAGAAGACGGAATTGGAGGCGGGGAAAGGGGGAAGCGGGAGAGAGAGATGATAGAATCGTAGAATCGGAAGGGACAACAAGGGTCATCTAGTCCAACCCCTTGCAATGCAGGGAGGGAGGGAGGGAGAAATTAGAACAAATATTGCCTAAAAGGACATGCTCCACAAGTTGAGAGTGTCATTTTAGAGGATGAAACTTAATTTTTGCCAATTTATTCAATGAGGGGCGGTCTTAAAATAGTGTGTGTGTGTGTGTGTGTGTGTGTGTGTGTGTGTGTGTGTGAAAGTCAAACCTGCTATTATTTTTGTGATTGGGCAACACTTCGCTTTGCTATTCTACGTCTAATTAAAAAGCACATAAACTGCTCTCGGGAAAACCAAAGAGATTTAATTTTACCTTCTGAAAATGACAGGTAACGCTAAATGAGATAACGATAATGATAATAATAATAAAAACTGCAAGTGCGTGACAATCCTTTTTAGTGATTTCCGTGCAATTTTACACACATTTTCCTTCCCAAGCAAAACTAGACTGCCTTCCTTTCACCAAAACATCTTCTGAATTCCCAAGTCATGTTACAACTTTTTAACACCCCTTGTTTGGGGAATCTGAAAGTTGAAAAATCCAACAGGCCCTTACTCTGCCAGCAAGTTCTCTTGCACAAAGCCCACTGAGATGAATCAGAGTCTTGCAGGGTTCCAGTTTATCCCAATAGGGTTTTAACGGGAGAACTTCCCGAGAGCTAAACTTTTAAAGGAGAAGTTTGATCCCCACCCCACTCCTCTCAAAAAACCTAATTGTCTGGCTCTGAAGAATGACCTGAATTGTTTTCTGTTTTACAAAGTTGCGGAGCCTATAGCTCACAAGACATACCATGGTCCCATTGATCGAGACAAATAAATATAATAGCCTCTATCGTCCACAAGAAAGCAGAGTTCACAATATACTAGAATGTCCTGGTGATTAAAAGCATGCAGCACACGAGCAGAAATGGTCTTTGATTGCAAAGACGTAAATGAGCAAACAAAAGGTTATTTAATGTGGAAGTAAATTGTGTGATTTAAATGAATCTTTCCCAACAAAAAACGGTGGTCGCTGTACTGCATAGGATGTTCCCACACATTGATCTCCCTTGGTTTTTAACTTAACTGCTTTAGCAGCAAGAACAGAGAGCTGGAAAGGCAAGGCTGAAGTCCCCCACTTCTGTATCTACCATTGTCCTGATCTATTCTGCCCCATACACCCAAAACATTTGGGTGTTGGTTTGGGGGGGCGGGCGGTTGTTGCAGCGTTTTGTTCTTCACAGTTCACATTTGCTTGAAGCCACGAATGCATATGAACTGTTTGCCCCTTAGGACTGAGGAATACAGGTACATTAGGACTAACAGCTGCCATAATTTAGGTTTTCACTGGGAAAGTGGCTGTGGAGAAAGGGAGACAGTCAACACACCCATTCTTTCCACTACTCAGAGTAAAGCCACTGGAGTCAGTGTAGCATAGTGGTTAGAGTATCAGACTAGGACCTGGGAGACCAGGGTTCAAGGCCCCGCTTGGCCATCAAGTTCACTGGGTGAGCTTGGGCCAGTAACCGCCTCTCAGCCTAACCTACCTCACAGGATTGTTGTGGGGAATAAATCCGGGTGGGGGGACCATGTACACCACCTTGAGCTTTCCCAGAGCAAAAGGTGGGATATAAATGCTATATACACACACAAACAAATATATTCACCGCATCCCACAGCTGTGTTTCAGTACAGGAAGAAGAGAGACGTAATCAAGGATTTCCAACGTATCTTGTAGCTCAGTCTTGACTTCCACATAAACTGGGTTTAAGACTGAGATGCATAAAAAGAGATTTCCTGTCATTATGCTGGATAAAAAAGGCACTATAACAGCCCGAAGATTCAAATAAGCAGAGTTACACATCTACTCAGACATAAGCTCTGTTGTGTTAAATGGGGCTTAATCCCTGGTGGGTAGAGGATCCTATAGACAGGCTAGACTGCAGCCTAAATTTCTAAGGAAGTTAAGAGCCTCAAAGGACACAGTGGTCAACATATTGATCAATATACAGTGGTACCTCAGGTTACATACACTTCAGGTTACATACGTTTCAGGTTACAGACTCCACTAACCCAGAAATAGTGCTTCAGGTTAAGAACTTTGCTTCAAGATGAGAACAGAAATTGGGCTCCGGCGGCGTGGTGGCAGCAGGAGGCCCCTTTAGCTAAAGTGGTGCTTCAGGTTAAGAACAGTTTCAGGTTAAGAACGAACCTCCGGAACAAATTAAGTACTTAACCCGAGGTACCACTGTATCTTTTTTTTAAAAGGGTTTACAGACCCATATATGTTTCTAGGATTTAGGGAAAGAGATCAGCTGTCCACAACTGACCGTTTATGATTTGCCATGATCTTGGATTAATTCTGAACTTTCCTTCCAGATACGCTCCCTCTGGAAAAATCATTATAATCTCTGTGTCCTTTTCTTATTTATGGATTTCGTGGATTGCTGTGTGTCACTCACAAGACCGAATGCTACAGGTCCATGCGCACTTACTTGGGAGTAAGTCCCACTGAACGAAGTGTGACTTGCTCTAGAGGAAGCATGCCTTGGATCAGCCTGCACAGGCAATACTCAAATATCATATGCGGTATATGAAGCTGTCTAGAAAACTACAGGGAAATACTGAGTGCTGCGCAGTCTGCAACAGCTAACAAGCCCCATTGCTGTGAATTGTAATGGAGTGTGCATTGCACCCTCTGTGTCAAAAACACCACAAACACTCACACTCTTAGAACCTACAAAAGATGTAGAATAAGTCCTTGCGAACATATTTACAAAAACCTATTGCAGCTTCTTAGTGCAAAGAGGTATTTGGTAAGGGTTCTGTTTTGCTTACGTGCAAATCCAGAAGCATAGCTGAAAGACATTTTGCGTGCCTTCTTCTCTTTAAACTTTAAAAATAATAATAATCTAGCACATAAATCCATTCTCCCACGTGAGAGAAAGACTGAATTTTTTAATAGCTGTAATTCTAGGCATGCACTTCCTTGGAACTCGGGTCCACAGAAATAAAAGATTAAGACTTCCAAGAAAACCGAAGGCAGGAGCTGATTGATATCTAAAAGCACTAAGACGCCAGCGCCTTAACTTCCCATTTAAATCACCTTCAGAAGTAGTGTTCCAAGTGTGCTTTACAGACAAACAAGGAGAATAATAAAAAAGCAATAAAAATAATAATCAGCTGGCTTACTCTTTAACTACACATGCCATAGTAAACAAATTAAAGTCCAACCCTATGAATGTTTCTATTACAGTAAACCCACGGTTACAGCACAAGCCTAACGCATAGACTCCGGCTGCGCTAAATACACTTCCTTGGGAGTAAGCGCCCCTAGACCCCAGCTGAGCAAAACTCAGCAGTATTTTCCTGAGAAAATTCCCGGCGCCTCTCAACAAGCAACGGAGTTGTAGGATCCACAACCTAAAGGAAAGCGCTCCGGCTCCTGCCCGGGGCGCACGGCGGACGCACCGCGCTCTGCATTGATGCGCAAACTTAAATGTGGGCTTTTGCGCGCTTGCACGAAATGCGCTTTTGCGCGCTGCTGCTGCTGCTTAGCCAGAAGGCAGTCTTTTAAATATCTTTGCGCTCTGTACCGTGTGTGTGTGTGTGTGTGTGTGTGTGTGTGTGTGTGTGTGTGTTTATATATTGGTCCAGAGGAGAGGAGAGGAAGAAGCAAGCGGGATAAAGCGAGGGGGCACCCCAAAACTACTACCCCAGCCTTTATTTCCCTTGCCCCCGCTCCCCATTTCTCTCACCGTCTTCATGCTGCAACGGTAGCTTGAGCGGGTTTTCCAGCAGAGATTTCAGCACCCCGTAGGTTGGAGGTAGGAAAGTTGGATTCAGAGGCAGAGGTCGAGCCATGGTCCTGATCTCTCTTTCTCGCTGCCCCCAAATTATTCTTTTTCAAACCAAGAATAAGAAAAAGGAGGGAGGACAGGAGGGCGGGCGTGGGTGGGAAACCCCAAATTAGGAGGTAAAAGGAAGAGAATGGGAGGGAAGGGGGGAAGGAAAAAAACCACCCCACTGCTAATAATTTTTCTGAAAAATAAAAATAAAAATCATCAAGGGCTCCTCCTTTTGGCGAAGTTCTAGCCGGCTCCAGACGCTCCGAGGAAATGGGGACGTCCTTTTGCTCGCTTGATCCCCTTTCGCATCAACAACAACAGAGGCAGCAGGAGGAGGGGAGTAAAGGGGGGTGGGGGGAGAGAAAGAGGAAAGAAAAGAAAGAAAAGGAGAGAGGCAGCCCTGACAGCCAGGCAGCCAGGCAGCCAACCAACCAAGCTCGCTCGCTCCGCCCAGACCGAGGAGCTGCCGGGGGCCGCCTGCGCCGCGCTCAGAGCAGTTGGCTGTCCATGTGCGGACGCCGACGAGCGTGACGCCCAAGGGCGGCCCTGCGCCCAGGGAGGCGGGGTAAGGGAGGGGCCGGCCAGATCGCCGCCCCCGACACGCGATCGGATCCCGCTTATCCGCCGCTGCCACCCCGGTTGCTCTTCTCGGGCGCCTTTCTCCTCTTCTGCGCCGGAGAAGCGGCGGGAGAAAGGATGGGCGAGAAAGGACTTTTAAAGGCGATGGGGGGGGGGGCACCGGAGAGAAGCTGCAGAGGAAGGGAAAGGATGGGGAAGGGAAAGGTTAAATTCGTTCCGGAGCGCCTGTTTTGCAAGATGCACTTCTGGAAACAGAGAACTGTAGAGTTGGAAGGGCAGCCTGAGCAGTGCTTCCCAAACGCGGGTCTCAAGCTGTTTTTTTGGACTACAATTCCCATCAACCCTGACCACTGGTCCTGCTAGCTAGGGATGGTGGGGGTTGCAGTCTAAAAACAGCTGGAGACCCAAATTTGGGAAAGGCTTAATTCTAATCCAACTCCCTGCAATGCAGGAATATGCAAGGTTCGAACCTGGAGCCTCGGGGTTATCAGCACCATGCTCTGACCAACTTTGCTATGCAAGCTTTCTTCTCGGTTGCCCTCTGACAGCTCCATTTAAAAAACTAAAAAATAAAAATCGTTTGAGAACAAAACAATTTGCCACATGAGCATGAAGGAATGCCGCAGATACAACTGCAGTTTAAAAGAGACAACGTCAAGAAGGCCGTTCAAAAGTTGGCATCCTTAAGCCAAGTTCTTGCCTGAGGGGAAAGAATGGTTAGCCATCGTTGTATTTGTTTGCTTGTTTCTTTGGTTCACAGGGTGATTCACAGAAAGATTCTTGGGAGACTGCAGTGGGCTATTCTTCCTTGCGCATGCCCCCTCCCACAACTCGATGGCAAAGTGCTGGTTCCCTTGGTCCATACAGTGATACCAATCCCACCAACATTTCTTCAATGAAAATTTTGTTCGACTCTCCATGACCCCATGGACCAGAGCATGCCTTGGAAACTCTCACTTTCTTCTCAAAGCTTCTCCTTTTTTATGTCCACGGAGTTTTCTTGGCAAAATACTGGAGTGGTTTGCCAGTTCCTTCTCCAGGTGGATCACGTTTAGTCTAAATTCTCGGCTATGACCTATCCGTCTTGGGTGGCCCTGCATGGCATAGCTCATAGCTTCTCTGAGTTATTCAAGCCCCTTTGCCACGACAAGGCAGTGATCCATGAAGGGCCTGATGAAAACAGGGATGTCCTATTCAACAACAACAATTTTACTATTTATATCTCTCCCATCTGACTGGGTTGCCCCAGCCACTCTGGACAGCTTCCAACATACATGAAAACATAACGAAACATTAAACTTAAAAGACAAACAAAAAAAACTTAGAATCATAGAATCATAGAGTTGGAAGAGACCACAAGGGCCATCGAGTCCAACCCCCTGCCAAGCAGGAAACACCATCAGAGCACTCCTGACATATGGTTGTCAAGCCTCTGCTTAAAGACCTCCAAAGAAGGAGACTCCACCACACTCCTTGGCAGCAAATTCCACTGTCGAACAGCTCTTACTGTCAGGAAGTTCTTCCTAATGTTTAGGTGGAATCTTCTTTCTTGTAGTTTGGATCCATTGCTCCGTGTCCGCTTCTCTGGAGCAGCAGAAAACAACCTTTCTCCCTCCTCTATGTGACATCCTTTTATATATTTGAACATGGCTATCATATCACCCCTTAACCTCCTCTTCTCCAGGCTAAACATGCCCAGCTCCCTTAGCAGTTCCTCATAAGGCATCGTTTCCAGGCCTTGGACCATTTTGGTTGCCCTCCTCTGGGCACGTTCCAGTTTGTCAGTGTCCTTCTTGAACTGTGGTGCCCAGAACTGGACACAGTACTCCAGGTGAGGTCTGACTTCCCATACAGGACAGCCTTCAGAGGTCTCCTAAGGGTTGTACTTATCTCCTTGACTTGGGGTACGCATAACTCCATACCCTCCTACATTTTTCCAATGAAAATAGGGATGTCCTAAGGAAAAGCGGGACAGTCTGGGATCAAAACAGAAACCAGGATGGCTTCTGTAAATTCGAGACTGTCCTTGAAAAATAGGGACGCTTGGAGGGTCTGTGATACAAAAACATTGTGGGTTATGCAGATGGAGGTGTCATGGTCTTTTTCTAGCTGCCTGGTTTGTTCCAAAAAGTGTCCCAGGTTCGGTCACATCATAAGTTGTTCTGCCATTGCCGCATCTTGATTGACGCCTTCCACTCATGTGCAACAAAGGGTCAATGTGCAAAATCGTGATTGATGGGTGACAGTTTCCAGGGACCCTGTGGGAACATTTGTTGGTATTACCACATTAGCTTTGATTTCTGCAGCTGCTACTGAGCTGTGGGTTCTGCTGTTGGGCGTGCATCGATGGAATCGCACCGGTGTTGTACCAGTGCTAGCAGGGGCATAATATCATCCATCAGCTTGTCAGGACCACAGGATCAGTCTTAAGGATCATCTCTTAAAGATTTAGGGGGCCTTCTTCAGCTGCAGACTTAACACAGCTACTGTGCTACAGTGTTTCTCCTGTGCATATCAAAAATCTCAAGATTTAAAAGTATGCAGCGTGTATTTTAGAGACAGAGGATGATTGCTGGTGCTAATGATACTCAGAGCAGAACTGCTGAATTGAATGGACTCAGCCTGGATAGCTCAGTTGGTTAGCGTGTGGTGCTTCTAACACCAAGGTTGCAGGTTCAATTCCCGTATGGAACAGCTGCATAGGTTGTACTAGATAATTCTCAATGTCCCTTCCAACTCTACGATTCTAACTTTATTGAGCTCAACCGGTCTGTTCTGACTATGACTTGATTGTATATCACCTGGAGAAAATGCCTCCTAATAATGCTGAAAATAATTACAGAGAGGCTATGGATCCATAATGGATTTCTATGGAGAGTTTCAGAGCATAACATGGGCACAGTGAGTTAAAAGCCATCCCACTCAGGAAGGATCACTAGATTAAAGATTTGGACACATCCATGCTATGCAAAAATTACTAGTTACTGGACACTTAAGTACATAAATACAGGGCGACTGACACCAGCAAGGGGGAATGGCTGGCACTGCTGCATGGGGAGATATGGTACATAATGAATTCCTATTTGATATGCACATAAATAAAGACGGAAAGAAGCCTTTGAGAGGTTTAGGGTTAAGGGAGAAAGAAGGTAAACAGAAATATAAGCTCCAGGAGGAAAGGAGAATCTGAGAAGTGCTGATAAACAATATTAATCTGAGATTAGTCTTAGAAAAAGGATCCCTTGAGAAGGGAGCGCAGGACAATTCAAACTTTTAAACGTATATTTTCAGCCCAAAGCAACAAACACACAGCACAATGTTATTAGATGAAATGTGATATTCTGCTGGCCAGGAAAACCAAACGGACCTGTCTCCTTGTTAGATTGCGATACAAACTGTTGGTTCCTGTGAACCAGAAGAATCTAATCACTAGCACAGAAGGGTAGAAAGTGACCTGTTTATTAACCATATAGGTAGGTTCCACCTCCACCACATGCATCACACCATAGCTGAGATGTTCTGAGTGTCAGGGAATCACTGCCACAAAGCAAAGTGTTGCTGTGCAAATCACCCAAGCATTCTCTCTGTCTGGAGTCTGGAGCCTACAGTCAGAGTTGATGCAGCAACCCTGCTGAAGGTAAGGTCTAACCCTGCATGAATCAGAGACAATCAGGGACCCCAAATAACAATGAATTATTATCATTACTCTGGGCAGCCCCCAACAAAATATTCAAAACACCGCCCTGAGTTCCATGGAAGAAACGGAGAATATGAATGTAATAAACAACCATCCAAATCCACTCTCAGTTCTGATTAGGGATGGTGTGGGGAGGGGAAAAACATGATTCAACTTGCATTGAAATACAAATTTACCTATTTCGGAGCTTCCAAAATTTGCAGTTTCCAAAACAATTTCTCCCAACATGGCAGTGCATTTCTCCAGTCCAAGCAATGTGCATATAGTTTTGTATATCGGTGAAACTAATATACAAAAGATGTGTTATACTGGGGAACACCGCTTTGCAAATGTGTGTAAATGAAGCAAAATTGCACACAAAAATGTGTATATTAGGAGAATGTCACACTAAAATTGTGGTGAATTTTCGTGAGGAATTTTAAAAATAATAACTCTAAACTGATGTGAAATTTTGAAGAACTGGAAAAAGGTGAAATTGAGAGAACCCCTATTTCACACCTCTCATTCTCTGACGTATGGAAATTAGAGTATGCACTTTTTGTGTTGGGTGGTAAATTTGCCAGAGTCATGTTGGTAAAAGGACCCCTGACCATAGCTTTCCCTTTTCTTGCAAGGAATCCTTTCCCTTTCCCTTTTCTTGCGAGGAAACCTATTCAGAATAAGGGAATTTCCCTTTAAAAAATGCAAACGTTGACAGCTATGCCCCTGACCATTAGGTCCAGTCGCGGACAACTCTGGGGTTGCAACGCTCATCTTGCTTTACTGGCCAAGGGAGCCGGCATACAGCTTCTGGTCATGTGGCCAGCATGACTAAGCCGCTTCTGGCGAACCAGAGCTGCGCACGGAAACGCCGTTTACCTTGCTGCCGGAGTGGTACCTATTTATCTACTTGCACTTGATGTGCTTTCAAACTGCTAGGTTGGCAGGAGCAGGGACCGAACAACGGGAGCTCACCCCATCACAGGGATTCGAACCGCCGACCTTCTGATCGGCAAGCCCTAGGCTCTGTGGTTTAATCCACAGCGCCACCCGCGTCATGTTGGTATTCAGCACCTAATTCCGCCACCCGTCATTGGCTCCCAAGGAAGTGAAGCAAAAACCACCTAGCAGCACCCATTTGTGCAATGGGCTGTCATCATTCTGCATCTAAAGGACTGCACTTTGATTGGAGATGACCGGGGGGGCGGACCACTGCTGACATGCAGGATCATAGCAAAGGAATCGCTCAGCTGTACCGCTACTTGGCAGAGAGATTATCAACTTCCTAGGTAAAAATCAACCAGTGTTTATGTTCCTTTTACTGCTGTTACTTTCTTCAGAGGAACTCGGCGTGTTTGAAGGTCAGGTTCAAGGAGTGTGTTGGAGGAAGCTGTTACCCACTTTATTACTAACCAATTAACAATTATTGTGATGGATGATGGGGGGTGGGAATGTGTGTGCTTGCTGTCCACTGTGGAAATCCTTGCCAATAAAGGCTGGGTCACCCACTGGGCCTGGGATAGCTCAGTTGGTAGAGCACAAGACTCTTAATTGCAGGGTTGTGGGTTCAAATCCCATGCTGGGCAAAAGATTCCTGCATTGCAGGGGGTTGGACTAGATGACCCCTGTGGTCCCTTCCAACTCTATACCAGGGGTCAGCAAACTTTTTCAGAAGGGGGCTGGTCCACTGCCCCTCAGACCTTGTGGGGGATTATATTTTGAGGGGGGGGGAATGAACGAATTCCTATGCCCCACAAATAACCCAGAGATGCATTTTAAATAAAAGCACACATTCTACTTACGGTACGTAAAAGCATGCTGATTCCCAGAGCATCCGCAGGCTGGATTTAGACAGCGATGGGGCCAGATCCGGCCCCCAGGCTTTAGTTTGCCTGCCCATGCTCTATACTGTGCATTGTGCACAGAATGCAAGGGAATTATAGCTTTAGCAATTGCCTAGTGTCAGGGGTTCAGGAGCAGAGGCACAGGAAAGGGAGGAAATAGAGAGCGAGGGGGAGGAGTCCGAAGGAAATGTTAGCGATGACAGCGGTCCGAGGTCTCTGAGTCTTTCCAGCGAATCGGAAGATTCACAGAAAGGGGCTCCCTTGGTCAGAGCAAGGGGGTGCCGAGGGGACACCCCAGGAAGAAGGGGCCAGAGGGGACTCAGAGAGCAGCAGTTGGAAATCAGGACCAGCGTCCACACCAGAGTGCAGTAGGGGGAGGAGGCCCAGGCATCGGGATCAGGCGGCGCACTGCCAGTGGGAGGACATGAGTCAGGATTGGCCACGCCTCCATCGGGGAGCGAGGAAACGGTCGAGAGGAAGGTTGAAGGCGGGCGCGCGCGCCAAGTTCAAATGTACAGGAGGGCGGCGCAGTTGGCAGCCCGGATAGGGAGCCAGGTCCCAACGCCCGCCGAACCGCGGGGGAGGAGTCAGGGGGGTCAACGTCAGCGTCAGAAGAATCCAGGAAGGAAGGGACCCCGGGGGGTAGCAGGACCCAGAGGAGAAAGGAGAGACGTAAGAGGTGGAGTAAGGCTAGAATCTTAAACTGGTGTACAGGGGGCGGAGACTCAGATGGAGCTTCGCCGATCTAACCCCTAGACGTAGAGCTGGGGCGCTGCGGCTTGAAAATGGAAACTGTACTTCAATAAAGACTTTTGTACATTACTGCCGGCTAGCGTTGGTCCTCTGTGAGCTGGGACCTGGAGCCAGCTCTGACACCTAGCATCATTGCTAGGGACGCGGGTGGCGCTTTGGGTTAAACCACAGAGCCTAGGACTTGCCGATCAGAAGGTCGGCGGTTCGAATCCCTGTGATGGGGTGAGCTCCTGTTGCTCGGTCCCTGCTCCTGCCAACCTAGCAGTCCAAAAGCACATCAAAGTGCAAGTAGATAAGTAGGTAGGTAAACCTACCTGGCGGGAAGGTAAACAGTGTTTCCGTGCGCTGCTCTGGTTCGCCAGAAGCGGCTTAGTCATGCTGGCCACATGACCCAGAAGCTGTACGCCGGCTCCCTCAGCCAATAAAGCGAGATGAGCGTCGCAACCCCAGAGTTGTCCACGACTGGACCTAATGGTCAGGGGTCCCTTTACTTTTACCAGCATCATTGCTAACTACATTTCCCAGGTCTCGTTTTTGGAACTTTCACTATACAGTACTTATCAGCCATTGTTATGGGTGTTCATCACTTGGAAGCACGACATTTAAAAATGGAAAAGAAGAGCAGTGGTTAGATCAGCTTTTGCCAACCTGGTTCTGTCCGGGAGTTTTGGACTGGAACTTTCAGTCAGCCCCAGGCAGCATGGACCACGGGCAAGGCAGCATAAAAGTCAAGGAACTCTGTTGCTCTATCCTTTCTTAGTCTGCACAGGAAAATTGCAATTTGCTCTTTTTCAAAAGCTCTGTCGGCGCACGCACTTCGCAGCTAAGTCACAAGGCCGGCAACTTCTACTATTTTATTTCGAACCATGCTATTTTTAGAAAGCTACTTACAGCCTAAAAACAGAGACTCGTAGCAGAACCAAAGGAATTTCAGACTTCACGTTAAAAATCCGAGCGCGCTGTTTTTAGAGCTGAACACCTGGGCTGTCTCAAAATTACACTTGGAGGTTAGAAGCTGGACCATCTGTTGACGTGCCTTGACCTCTAAACCATCCTCAGCCCCATTCTCCAAATTCTGAGCAAGCCGTACATAGTCGTGCTGTTACAGGATTTCACGTTGCGATCAACACGGGGAGTGCTTTTGTTTTAATGGCGTGTTTTTGTTTATTTAAATGAGATCACTGGGATGTACCTGGGGAAGGCCCATGACTCAGTGTCACAGCATCTGGCTTTGTATATATAAGGATTTGGGTTCATCCACAGCATCTCCACATAGGAAAATGGGTTGATACCCTGCCAGTCCGTGTAGACAGAACTGAGCTAGAACTGGGCCTGACTTGGTACAGATCTGCTCTTTTGTGTGAAAAGCTGTACACACATCCAGCAGTGTAGCATTGGCTGTCAGTGCCCAGGTGTCTAGG